ACCTTTGGCACTCATTCGACACTCCCAAACTCTCCAAATCGACTAATGTTCCACCACCGTGGTCTTCCCAGGGGCTGAATTCCGGGTAAATATCTCTTCAAACTCTCCTTCCTCCTCTACAGGATCCATTTGCCACTTACTTTCACTTTCCCTCATGAGCCACCACCACCACCACTTTCATCCACAGCTCGGCAAAATCTAATAGCCCACAAATTTCGAAATATCAAAGAGGTTTCTTCTGATGTGTCAACCCTACCAACCAACCGCCCAAACTTATACACATACATTTAGGCACTCCTGCCCCCATTCCTTCCCAGTAATTCCCTTATTGAGCAGAACTAAGATATTTGATCACGTTGTTAATGGCCTCATCCAAATACACATAGTTGCCAAACTTGGTTCATATTTAAATTCTTGACATAAGTTTGATCCTTCCAAGACTGGATACGTGACTGATTGAGACAAATGGTAATCAAATAAATTACTCGCGTAGAAAGAGCGGTAGTGATTTACACCGATTTGGGACACGTAAATCAGAGAGCTGAGAGACGAGTAAGATATGATAAGTAAAAGTTCACGGGCTTCCCTCCATACACATGTACAAAGAACGTACATCGAATGCCCAAGGCAGAAGCAGAACATTACTTTCACACACACGCATGCAACACTTTCCTCGACTTAATTAAAATTCGGGAAATGTAAATTTAGCCTTGATAATGGAGACTGTGATATAAATACTAATTGTAAGTTGGCAAGACCAATGCCACAGTCGTTTACACAGGCACAAAAGATATGCACGTATGAGACACGGCCATACGGGAGAAATAAATTAGACTTTTTAAAGCTCACGATTGTCAATGAAGAATCGGATTGTTCAAATCACATAAATTGTTGAAGTCCTCCTGCATAAATTATTCCAGAAACCGTAATGCTCTTGCTGGCAAAAGACATTTCCGCCGTGTTAATAAGGATTAAGCATGTTACGTACGCTCATTTACATCAGTACGGCAGAAATCGGTAACTTTGCAACCACCGTCGTAGGACACTTTACGACTGAATAGAGAATACAACATCAAACCATTAATCATCAATGCCCCTTTTGGCTTAAAATTTGTTTTCGTTTTCTCAGAAATATTCATTCAATTCGTATGACGAAACTATAAACACCTTTCCTCTGACTAGCACTAACGTCTCCTTAGAATCGCCTTCTTCCCGTGTTTATTGTTGTCGGCCCACTTGATCCAATTATTTCATAATGGATAAAGCCTGTTTAATTCTCAAGGAACCGAGATAAAATCATGTACCAATTATATGCCGACTGACACTGTAATGTGGGCCTCTCGACTGCTTTGAACCAGCTTGAACCAACAGCAGCATCACATCGTTTGAAAGATAAACTTTAAGAACAATCTAATTCTACGAGTAACTAAGAGCGGTCTGTTTGTCGAGCGCAGTGAGCCAATTAAAACTAAACAATTGTGACTTTCCCTTCAAAAATATGGGTGCAGCAGGTACATTACGTAGGACGAGGCTGCTGGAAAGAATATAAGGGAACAAGTTTAAATGAGGACGACAGACAGCAAGAAGAAGAAGAAGAGGAGTGAGAATATTCTTAATTTGTGAAAGTGAAACTTTCACCTGAAGACTAATGAGGACACTTAACATGAAAGCTCTAAAGTCTCCTCCTCCTCCCAACTCCGGGTTCACTAACTAATTAGAGTCAAGCAATTCTTGACTTTGAATCCAAACTCTTAGTGATCATGGGGGGGCATTCGGCTATCTTCCCGTGGCAGGGAGGGAAAGCAGCAGGGCCGTCCATGCCTAGCTTTCACCGCAATATTACTACTCGCATCTGATAATTTTCTGCCTTTTCACCACGACTTTTCTGTATGTTTGCTCCATTAAAAAAATCATGGGTTCACTCCGAGGTTAAGAAGAAGAAAGAAGGCGAGATTTTTCTAGATCAGCAGAGGATCTAGTAGTGGCCGGTGAGATTAAACCTCATAACATCCCATTAGTTGAGACTCAAGTGGCCACGGAGGTGGTGATGTATTTTCTTTGAAATTTCTTTTCGACCCCACCCACCAACCAACCAACCACTCGTCTCCAGAGCAGATTTTGATCCCGAGAATTAACGTCTTGTAGCATTTCCAAAGTTGGGAGCGCGGTGTGATAGGTGAAATGATAACTCTGACTTGGACTCATTTCGCTTCTGACTTTACTTCGTTATCTCCTAAAATACAAAACATGTTCTTGTCCAGTGTAATGACGTGACAAGTTAAATTTACGAAGGCAATTAAAAATTTACCAGCATATAGGCAAACATGCAAGTGAGGATGAGATAGCACGAGCATATCTCTAAATTAATTTTCCTTGCTTCATTGGGCCTTGAATGCCACTGAGACGACATGAAATCAAAATTTGTGGTACAGCCAACTTGAGTCAACATGCAGAATTATGAAATATCCGTTTGTTTCAACTCTAATTGAGCTAGTAGGTACAAAGAGCGCTCTATATCAAACTCATTTAGTATGTGTTATGTAAGTATTTATCTACTCAAGCTATTAATATGAGCGTCAACTTTATCCCGAAATTCATTTAGTATAAAGTTCATATTATTTCAAAAAATAAAATGCATACGTTGATGATTATTTTTAAAAAATGCAAAGTACCATTACTTCTGCTATATAATTATGATAATTGTTTAAATTACACAAGTGCACTTGCATTTTACTTAACATTCCTGATAACCCTTGATAATCTGTAATCTTTATTACTCACAAAAACATGTCAACGCGCATTTATGAAAACTTTGAAATGATTTTTTCCAGTCTACCTTTTTATATATTTTTCATGATATAAGTACATATAGGAAATTTGTAAAGCTTTGGGAAAGGAAATGACAACTGGCTGCAATGGAGAGAGAAGATGGCATTATTAGAGCTACATGGTGGGGTCGACATCCGGTAGTTGCCTCATCTGGACAACTCCACCAGGACGACGACAATAAATGAAATGGGTACTCATGCAAAGTTTCTCGGTTTTATTGAAAGGTTTCGCCAAGTTTGCTGAGGATAAGGTTTTTCTTTTGACGAAGACCGTTTGCCTCTTATCATCCCTCCGTGAACACTCTGCACATAAAAATTGCGACATCGTATAATGTCTTTGGTTAAGGTCGCATGGGGACTATTGGTAAGTGTCCAACTTTTAATAAATCCAAATTTAAGAAGAATGCGTACTTAGGTCAATCTTGGTTGAAAAAGTAACATTTTCGTGATGGGAATTGTATGATCTAATGTTTAATCACTAAAAATTATGGGTGAAAGTCGTCTCCCCAGCTGCAATAAAGCCATCGGATTGTGCGAAATGAGACTGAACGTACCTACATACGTTCTAATCTAAAAAAGTAGGTAGTCTCGTGTCTCATTTCGACTTTGTAAAATGGTGACAAGAAAGCAAATTGGGAATGCAAATTAGAACATCTTTTGAGTCCTTGAATCTGAATTTGTGTTTTGGTTTAATAAAAATACAACCGATTGTCAACAGATATGCTAACGAAGCTTGAATATAATTCTAATCTTCTGGATTTTCGATGATTCTCACAGGAATGCAAATGGGACAAATATTTGTTGTTGCATATGTAATTTAAACATCTTAGAATGCAATGCAGAAGGAAAATATTCCCCAAACAGAAAGAAAACTTATTATTATTATTCGTTGAGCCATATATCTTATTCCATGGATTATAGTCTAAATTATTTATTATGGATTAGACGCATAAAATAATAATCCAATATTGCTATGTATATTCCAACCTATTGAAAACAAAATCAAGACCACAAACAACGACAAGACACAAGCATAAAGAAAAGTTTCCACTAAGACCCACCGACTTTCTCCATGATAGTTAAATTTGTAATTTAAAGAGACGATTTTTTTTTCAGGGAAATAAAGGGACCGTTTTCTATTGATTAAATTTCTTTCCAATTCTCCATTGAGATATGAGAGACAGAAGCTAAATAAAGTGAGAAGAAGGACGAACAATAAAAGAAAACGCTAGGCGAGAACACAAGAGTGACACAAGGACAATATGAAAGTGGAACAGAGGCGGAAAGGACAATGAGAGATACGATATGATGAGAGGATTCTTGATTCCTTATTTTTTGCTTCCGGTGAAAGTAGGCCAACATCACAAGAAGAGAGAGAAATCGAAGTGTAGAACACCAAAAAATTGATAACATGGAAAGGAGAGAAAGTACATACGAAATTATATACATACACTTCGTACATTTCAACCCTTTGAAAACTTGTTGTTCCAATTTTCACTGTACGTGTAAAGCTTCAGGGTTTTATCTCGATGCAAAACGGCTAACCTAAACCATACGAAAACAAAGATTTAAGAATCTTGGATATGTATTTGTGCATGCATATATACGTGTCTGCGAGTAGAGCAGTTGACAACAATGGGATTAATTCCAACTACTTTGGTAAACTAGAGAAATCCGAGTTAGGGGGATGAACGCGTTATGTGGTCATTTTTAGGCCAGCTTGAACTTGAAATGAGAATGCTGCTTAAAACACAAGTTTAGTTGTGTCAAGAGTTAAAGTTGGTTGAAGATGAAAAGTGTTTGCCGAAAGGCGCCCAGGCCAGACCAGGTTTTCTTCTTAACTTGTACTTGGGCTAGAGAAGGAAGTGACAAAAGCCCAAACTGGGAGAAAGTGGAGGAGAAGAGAGAAGGAAGAAAGTCATGCACAATTGGGAAATGGGCCACTCCAACATCTCCAACAACGACAAACTTTACTTTTGTTGAATCAACCAAACCAACCAACCAACCTTCTTCCCAATCGAAACTAAAGTTTGTTGGGACATGGACACGACTCTACTTCCGTTCCCAATCATTATCATCTTCTTTATATCATCCACCAACCGACAAAGTTCCCTCCGGCAGTTAGGCCTCATGAGGATAATATGAAAATAAATCTAAGAAACGACAAAAATATGCAGTAGATTTTCCTCACAACTTTTAATCCGTCATATATGGACTAGCACGATATACAGTGATATACTACATAACTACGTACGTAAATAATAGAAAAAACACAAGGTACATGAGCATGTTACTTCACGTTACGAAATAATATAATTTTCGTTTCACTGCTGATGACGAATAACAGCATATAAATAGATTATTTTTCCAGCTTCGCATAAATTTGAGATACCGTTTACTAAGTATATATTTAAGCGGTTTTAATAATTCAATTTGTTTAAATAATGTTAGCAGATTTAACGAAAGAGAATAAATACATAAGCGAGTCATGGACTTAACGTAACTAAAAATAAATAATTAATTAATTAAAGAAAGGCCAGCCTTCTGAACGGAGAAATACTTAGTCACAAGTTATACGTCAGTTCAATTATGAAGGATATTTTCGAGTATTTGACTTATTCTTAGGCACAAGGTTATAGAATTTTGGATCAGTTTTGTTAAGAAGCATTCCAATAAGTTCAAGTGGAATAGAACTCGTATTTTTACTCCGTTCTACCCAGGCATACAATATTTGTAGTTGAAGTTTCCACCTCATACTCTTTGGATCTTCCTGTAAAATAATGCATACACAACAATGTACTTATTTCCAAAATTTATCCTTTAATTCATATGGTGAATTAATTACATTCGTACCTCTTTTATCAAAGCTGGCAATATTACTTTTAGTCCGGCTGAATCAGCCAACCTATACATTAAGTTGAGTTCCTTCACAGCATGAACTTCTGCAACAGGAAGGTCGTCCGCCTCGTCCGGAAGAGTATTTTGGAAAACCTTTTGGAGTGAAATATATATATATATATATCCATATTATAAGATTATGTATTATTTGCATACCTGCATTTCTCTCCATGCCATGTGTTTTAAGAAATTGTACTTTATCGACGCCACAGGTTTATGTACCAACCAAATTACTCCATTGTTCGAGACAACCTTTTCTAAATATGTAAGGTCACGAGGAAGTATAAACTCGACCGGCAGGAACTCTTTATCAACTAATGTAATCTGTATAAAAAATCAAGCAAACCCTTAAAATCAATCCTTTACGGATTCATTAACTTTAGACACACGTACCCTTTTAATTAAATCGAAAGGAGGCAACAGTAGCGGAGCTTTAAGTTTTTCAACTTGACCGTTTACATATTCGATTTCGAAGAATAATAACTTTCCATGAGGCATTGGCTTGGGAAGTAATAACCTAGGCTGACAAGCTAACACATATAAATGTCTTAGGGCTTGCAGATGATATCTGAAAGTAATAGATTTATTAAATCCAATTAATCTCCAACCTGTCGAAAAGTATGTCAGCAGAATGTCTGCCTATTAAAATACCTATTATCATTGGCATTAATAGGCCATTTTGGAAATACAGAAGCAAGTATCACAGCAATGCTCCGATCATCACAGCATAAAGAGTATCTGCCTCCACCAAGGAAAAGTATACCAATGGTCTGAAAAGTAAGAGCAATTTTAGAGGTTATGTACCTTTTGTAAACTCATCATTCTGATATTTTATTACCATTGAAATACACATTTCCAATCCGTACGAATTATTTGATGCTGTTACTGCAATTCCGGATATTTTGTGTTGCATATATCTAAGCAGTCGAAGTGCTGAAACGTCACCACTTCCGGCCAGCAGAAGAGACAATGAAAGCATCATTGAGCAAAGAGTAGATTCCAAGAAATTTTTAGGAAAATATGCATTGACATTATTTTCTGGGAAGGCCATTTCCAGCATATAGTTGATGTAATGGTACACTGTTCGTACTGTGGCCCCGTCTCTAGTTCCTGCCCGTCTAATCCCAAGACCCAAGCAATACCCACAGATAATACTTGCCCATGCTTGACTGAAATTTTAAAAAATATGATAAAGTCAGACAACATTATATATGTATTATAACAATACTATCTTTGCGAATGCTAGGTATAAAAATTACTTTGTACAATCATAGCCGATACGATGGTACTCATTGGTTTTTGTCATTGCCTTATCAATAAGTGCTTGAGGCATTAAATCTCTCTGTAGCCATTCTACGCTAACGTCGGGCGTTTCTTTTAAAACAAGAATATAAGCCAAGGATCGTAACATGAGAATGTCTGGGCGAACACCATCAAGCAAATGAATTGTGTTTGGTGGCGACAACCATTTCAACACAGCTTCATTACCACCTATGTAAACACAATAAGATACACACATATATAAACACTAAATAAATAACTGAATGAATGGAACTAAATTTAAACTCTTTACTTTTCAAATACGTCAGTGCGACAGCAACTATGGCTGAGGGTGTTGCTACATCAACGTTAACGTTGTCTCCTTCCTCAATATGACAACATCTATATTCTTCCCACAATGATGGAAGAGTTTGACCTACTTGTCCATGTTCGTCGTCATCTGAAATACATAATTAAATGCTTATATGCAAAACGGCCAAACACAACAACCAAAAGAATAAAAATGGCAAATTAAGGTAAGTCACCATTATTCCCTGTAGATGGTTTTGGGCCCCCGACAACAAATCTTCGAAGTATCCCATCAAAACCGTCTTCGTCCATGCCTCCACCGTTTAGGCGGCCTTTTCCAAGATTAACGAATCCCAGTCCAAACCCTGTGAGTTTAATATAATTTTTATAATTCTTTACAATTTTTATTAATATTCAATAATTATTCAATAATTATTTTTTTAAATTGCAACTAATTATGAAGTGGTCATCACCTGCACACAATGAATGAGCTTCTCTATCTGCAATGGAACCACTTGTGTCCGTAGTGTTCGTTGGGGCTGCCGAATTATTATTGTTCCCACCTCCGTATAAACAAAGCGGACTGTAACGTTTTGATATTTCTCCCAATAGAACTTTTGCAATGTGATTGTGATGGGTTCCCATGAATAAAATTCCTAGGGCACAGGGCGCAACTAACGATGCCAACTTTGGAATTTCAAGCTCTGTTGTACATGCCGGCATCATCGCCCCGATATGCAGACTGATAATTTTCCATGTCGCAATATCACCAGTCCCTGAAATTTACACAAGGCAGTTAGTTTTTCCAGTAACTTAGATTCATGTTAAATATTACACCAAATAAAAGGTTAAATTATAAAATAAACATGCCTGCGTTATTAACCCCAAGTCCTAAAAGCATAGCCATGGACATGAATGAGTTTTCTTTTGAAAGGTAGTCATGTTGTAATGTTGATGGCATGGACGTTAAAATTCCATTAAGCCCAAATCCAAGTATCATCCCAGCCTGTTCAGCTCCTTCCGTGGTCTTTGTCTTATTATATGCAAACCTGCAAATAATTTCAAGAATGACAATGATGACTACCAATAAACATACATTTAACACCGAAGTAATAAATAAGCACCATTCGTCCGCAGGTTGGTCAGCAAACCTCACAGCTAGCGTTGAAGCAACGGCATTATGAAAAGTCGGCCATAGGGAAGTAGACAATTCGGTATCGTTCACTTCAATGTTAGTTCCCCGTCTTGAACATTTTCCTGTTAGGCACAGTCTAGAAAATGGTAAATAAGGAATAATAATGCAATTCCTTGGAAATAAGTAATAATCATGCAATTCCTTGGAAATAAGTAATGTTTGATTAAAGCTTAAATACAATACTCACCTAGGAATGCCAACAATATTTGTCAAATTTGAAAATGCTTTGACTTCTGTCCTTAAGGTAAATGCAGATCTTCCCACAGGGGCAGATAATGTAACCTGCATCATCTGCAACAAATGCCTTTCTTGGTCTTCCAGAAAATCATGGTCAGACATTTCTGCTTTTTGTTCAATGTCAATCATTAGAGGTGACGCAGAATCCAATAATTTGCAAACTTCTTCCAACCGCCGGTCTTCAGAAAATATTTTCTGCAACCCATAATAGTAATCAGCTATACTATGAGCAACAGCAAAACCATGTTATGGTGTCTTACCAAACTCAGTACATATGATGTCCAATCGCAATTTTCGTCACTCATGTCTTCCCGATCACTAAATGGGTTATATCTAATTGGAACGTTAATTTCAGGCGCCTTTGGTATTAAATAATCTTCCCTCCCCATCATAGATATCACAGACTCTGGCCAGTCAAATGACACTTTATCCTGGTTTCGTCGAAGGACGTCAGCAATTAATATATCAATTACAGGAGCAAAACTCTGTCCCGACGACTTGCACTCGCTCAATTTACAAATTGTGCTAATATTATCTGTATCGTCCAGCAACAGTTGCATGACCGGAGGAAGGCTGTCAAATAAAGGACCATGTGGATTTTCCATGGACAGCAATTGCAAAAACTTGTAGAACACAGAAGAATTTGCATAGAGAGGATCCTGTAAGCCAATCAATATCTGCCTTTATAATTAACTCAAATAACTCATAGTGATTCATGTGTTATCAAAAACTAATTTTTATTTACCTCCGTCTTACTGTCACAGCGCTGGAGACAAAGCCAAGAGTGCAAGTCTGCAAGTTTAGATATGTAGTCATCCGCACCTCCAGTTGCTGTCAATTCCTAAAAATAAATATTTTACGAGTGACATTCATGATATGCAGAAAAAAATTACCGAGTTTATGTATGTAAGAACTTGGCATACCTCGAGAACTTCTTGGATAGCTTCAATAAACTTGTCCAGCATTGGCCATAAATTATGTTCGAGGAGAGTATCAACAACTTGCTTAATTATATTTATAAACACTTTCCACTCATGGTCCAGTAAATCCACAGTTTGGTGAACCGTATACAAAGAAACTATTTGGGTTACGATGTTGGACGGGAGTTTCGTAGAAAAATGATGAATACATATGGATATCAGCCCGAACTTTTGATAATTTTTAAGCGTAATAACAACCTTTTCAATCGACTTGTCAATACTGCACACTAAAGTGTCTCCATACAAAAAGGTGTCTAACGCACATATCCGTTCGTCGATGGAATGTAAGAGATCAACAGAAACAGTAACTGCAGAAGTGTCGTCTAGAAATCCGATTTTGATTAAATTATCCGTGGTCAAAATGCACACGAGTGAAGTTCCATGTTTTGATTCGGAACATACGAAATCTTCTACATCCTCAATGTCGTAACTGTTGAGCTGTTTCCCTAGGACGATGTCTATTGAATGCACATAGAGAGTTTTGCCAATTAAAAACCACACTGCAAGATGTTCACAGTTCAAATCTCGTTTGACAACTAGTTGAAATTTGCTGGGTTCACTTTCAGCCGTCACTGTGTCAAAACAATTAAAAAGTGGACGGAAATAAAATTCTGGGTCATCGTACACACAGTAATGCGGTGGATAAAAACCCGTGGCCAGTCCATGACCATGGCTAGTCATGTTGGAGTAGTCAAAACTAAAGCTTGGCCAGTAGTTTATGGAACTTCCTTCTCTAAAATGTACTTCTTTACTGCAAAAATACAAAATAAAACCAGTTAACTCTAGCTCATGTTTTAAAGCAATAGAAATGCAAATTGAATTTATTTTTATTATTAATACCTATTCATTCGTATACTCGAACTTTTCTGTGGAGGTCTTCCTATTGGAGAATACATGGAAGATCCTCCTGCTGGCGTAAATGGTGATGTAGATTGTTCTAGATTTGTGTAATATATTGAAGCATTTAACGTCGTGCTATCAGCAATATCCTGTTTCTTTAGACGAATAAGTCGTTTAACAGAAAATCCAGAGTTTCCAAAAATATCCCAAAAAACGCAAATATTGTTGTCGCAACCCAATAGTTTCTCATGGGATGAGTCAAACTCTAGAAAATCTAAATAATCACAATTGCACACATTTAAATACGACGTCTATAGCGTTTATACAGTATTTCATTGTTTTCAATAAGAATTTCTTATTACCATTTCCAGACGCTTTGACCCAAACTCGGCTAACTTGTTTTGCCGGATGCGTCAATACATATAAGTATTTAGAGTCGTGAGAATCATTGGCGTCATTTGGTATTTGCTGAATAGGGATGACAATGAGGCCGTGTGGAGTGTGTACAACCCTATCGATTTGAAACTCGGCCATATATGCGACATGACTTTCACTCTTTCCATCAGCATACAACGAAATCCCACTGTTCTCGACAAGGCAGTAGTACGTATCTGTAATTGCCATAATTCACCACAACATTATCTTGTCTATTCACGCACATTGTTCAATTACAATGACACAAACCACGCTCTCTCACCTTTCAAATCAGAATCATCAGTCTTAATATCTTGAGGAAACTCGGTTTTTACCACACTCTTAACTTTCCCTCCAGTTCCATATGAGTCAAGTGGTCTGAAAATTGCTTTAACTCTCGACGGTCCACCCAACGGCCCGAGTGACACGGTACAGATCCCATTACTTAGAAAAATCTCTTCAAAAACTTTGTCGTCTTCCACTTCCACGTCGAAGGCTGAAGAGGTGATTCCCATTTTAGGTACGAGAAGATAAATGATCGTTTCTGGAAGTAGAATCTTGTCGGGATTGTCAAGTCCTGTGCGAAGAGGATACGTCACACCGTACTTGAGGATGTTGGATTCCCCCAAACTGAGGGCACTCCCTTTGTGAGGCCAGTCTCCAAAGTGTTCGTGTCCATACCACGGGGTGTGTCTTCGAAGTTGATAGCCAAACGGAGACACAACCTAAGATTTTAAAAATTATCCATAATAAAAAATGCTTAATTTTTTCAAGAATTTTGTGCTTAACCGAAAAATGTATTTCCTACGAAATAAGAGAATATCCCCTTAATTTTCTAATGTTATAAATATTTCTATCTAAAAATATGTCATTAACCTTAACGATCAATGATACCAAAATTGAGTATTTTTCATTACGTCGCACTGCAATGGAGTTAACGGTCCCTCGTGTTGTGGGAAGAGGATTGAGGTCTTTGACAAATCACCAATAACGACATCGTCATCGCTATCACTGGAACTGTTAAACTCCAACATGGCGAAAGAATCGAGCTTTTCTGGCTTTCTTTGAAAACTGGCGAATCTTTATAAACAAATAAATTTCGTTGTCGGCTTTTTACCGTCTTGCATGGATTAGGTGATTGTCAAAACCCAGCATAGCAAAATACGTCTCTAGAAAGTCGAATTATGGCAATTCCACACAAATTTCATTTTCCGAACTACAATTAATTTTAAATCATGTAAATAAGTCTATTTTAACAACTTCAAAAAACAAATATTTGACGTTGTAAACGATAACGGCGGAAAAGGACTGGAGAGAAGAATGCACATAAGTTCGCTCTACGATTTATGCGGGCTGTGGATACTCAATACTGTGAATAACGTGGATTTTGAGACAGAATTCTAGATATATTGTACTTATAAAAACAATTTGACAATCAGAATCGTGCCATTTTTTCGCATTGTTTCTTTAATTCAGTACATTCCAGAATTATGATGACATTTTTTATATCTTTTAGCTATGCAACATATGAACCGTGTAGTTACTAGTTTTTTTTACCAAATTTCACCTTCAATGCATGACATGCAAAGTCAACAACTTGTTGAATTGCCAAAAGTGCAAATGGGACTTTGACGGTGACCTAAGGGACACAGTCAAATGTCAATATCGAATTTCAGTAGAGTTATCCTTGGAAATGAAATTTCCTTGGAAAGCTATGTACATGTTAATGAAATGAAAATAACATTTTTTGGAGGACATGTTTTGGACCTGCAACATAACGTTTATTAAAAAATCAAATTAAAATGCAGTTAAACAGGAACAAACATAAAAAGTCAATACAAAACAAGAATTTAAATATCCTCTAGTCTCAACCAGTCGTTGAGACATTACAATTACTGAATTACATAACACTTTTTCTAATATTCTTATTGTATACTTAACACATTCAACAGTGACAGCTGAGGCATTATTATCAATGAGATGAAAAATGACATTCCTTAAATGTCGAAATTATGAAGTTAAAGTTTCAAAGCAAGATACGTAATAGAAGGTAAACAAATATTAAAATTTTGAGAAGTTTAGTTTTGGATTTGCCCTCATACTTAAAAAAATCGAATCATCATGGTACTCCTTATCAATTGCAGCTTCCGCTTTCTTAAAATTCTCTTTTTCTCGTTTTGTTTCCTCTGCAAACTTGCGTAGTTCTTCCAGCAGCGAGTCCTTCTCTAATTTTAAAGGGTCTTGATGAAGGTGGTCATCTTTATTTCCGTTTGTCAGACTTTTGTTTAAGCTACTTGGACTTGTATGATTGTTGGATTTGACAAATTCTTGTCTAGGAGATTTGTTTCTTCTACCATTAAATAATTCAGGATCAGTTTCTGAGCAAGTAGTTTCATCACCGCTAGGCCAACGCCGCTTATAACAATGACGATAATAGTCTTGATTTACATGTAGTTTTTCTGGACTAAAGATAAGGGCGGGTTGAGGTGACTTTTTGCTGTAAGAGTTGACAAAATTGGCTATACTGTGTTTGAAATTTTGAGCAACTGCTTGTGCTCGCTCGTACTTGTCAAGCAGAGTTATCGTTGTCATTCCAGTTTTGATAATGTTTGGAGATTTCCCGTTTCCACGAAATTGATGTAATATTTCTTTTGGCGATCTTCCAACTGGATTGGTAGCTGGAAAATTTAACATGTCGTACAACAGTTTTTCCTCCTTCATCTTCCGTGCGACTTGTTTTCCTCGGGCGTAGGCACGCCACTTGTTGATAATGAGTCTTAGTTTCAAACGTTTGAGTATCATGCCGATTTTCCGTACTATTTTTTCACTACAAAAATAAATAGATTTAGAATTAGCGAAGATTAGAATTTATAATTACTACTAACTATCGTTGATCTCTTACTTTTCTGATCGTTGCTGATTTACTGAAGCCAGACAAATTGGTCCCACCAAACTCGTGACAATAGAGTCAATTTGTTTCGTGGCATACAGTTCACAAACAAATTGTAACCAACGCTCTCGCTGGACTTCTTCTTGCGTAATATTTGAAACGCACTCAGGAACAAGTTTATCAAGGACCTATGGAGATTTAAAATAAATTTGGCAAATTAAAAATATATTCACATCTACAGTACTCAACTAAGGATTATATCCTAAGCATTATTATTCAAGTAATAAAGTCAATACCGATTCCATAGCTCGTTCAGCCATTTGCATCCTTAGTGCCTCTTTCATCCGTAACTTTTCTTGCATTTTTGTTTCGATTATATTCTTTTCCAAAACTACTTTCACGGATCGTTGTAATTCTTTGTGAATAAATGAATGAAGCACTTCATCAAATGCTTTATCACAAACAGAATCAATAAGTTGTAATTTTTTGGCTTTAAAGTCCTCGTCCTCTACTTTTTTTAATGTTTCAACTTTTGGAGCACTTGTAGTTGCAGGAAATGGACTGGGAACACCAGTTGGAAACACGTTTGGAGCACTTGAAGAAAATGCGCTAGGAGTACTCGAAGAAAATACGCTAGGAGTACTCGAAGAAAATACGCTAGGAGTACTCGCAGAAAAGATGCTAGGAGTACTTGTGGGAACTGCGCTTACGCTGGAAAATCCAGCGTTTCCTCCAAACACTGCTTGATTTCCAAATGCACCAGTGAACGCCCCTTTTCCTTCGAAAGGTGATTTGAATACGGTGGCAGGAATCTCGACCGGTTCTGGTGGTGATATAAGTGTAGAAGGAATACTCATCAATGGAACAGGGGCTTTTACGACATTTTCACTACTAAACACATTGGTACTTGGCAACTTGGTAGAACTTGATCCTCCAAAAACTGATGGTCCCGAACCAAAGACAGTGGGAGTTGGAGTGACACTTGATGACGATTTTAAACCTGAACCATCCTTCACATCCACGCTTATTTTTGATTTTCGACCTGTCAAATCGAAAGGCGACGGAGTAGGAGATTTTGATTTGGGGTTGAAAACCTGTTCATTTAATCGAAATTTTGACGTAATTTTAGGTCGGTCTCTGTGTGTTGGCTGAATATCTGGATGAGCTTTCGACATAAATCCTGGCATTTTGGTTTTCTGAATGGCAGCTGTAGCAAAAGCATCTGGTGAGTCCTTTAGCTTGGGTGGTTTTTGTTCCGACTTTGGAACAATAACTACAGTTCCTGCTGAACTTTGTCCTGCAACGAGTCCAGGTTTCAAAAATCCTTCATCATTAAAACTGTCATGAGGTTTGTAGGTGAGCATTGGGTTCTCCGACAATGGCCCTCCATTTATGGCTTCTGCCGTCTAGCAAAATTTAAAAAATCACATGCACTTTAATCGAACATATCGTCTAATGTAAGTATGAAAATAATCAAACTTTATAACAATTTTACAAGCAACTTACTGTTGTTATTAGTTTAGACTCGATCAAATACGTTTCTCGACTTATGATTCTAGACTCCGGTCTAACAAATCGTCTCCTGTTGTATATAATTCGGTCATTTTCTAAGTCCACAACTAACCCATGTAGGTCACACACATGTTGCAGCTCGGAGCTTGGCTTGCCTACACCGTATCCAAGCATTCGTTGTACGTTTGAGAACACAAGCTGTAAAGAACAAAATTGATTGTTCATTAGGTAAAAATAACTTATAAATTATCAAGACACAAGTGAATTATTTAACCTGGCCATCTCCCTTCCTTCCTATAGATCGGCACATGGAGTATAAGGCTCTGAATCGAACTTGGTAAAAGTAGCGATGTAAAATACATGAAAACATGTATGGCAAGGTGTATACCAAACGAAAAAACCCAACAAAGTTTTTACTAAATATAAAATGATGCACTTTGATTGCAGCTTGAACTTGAGAAGACTTAAGGATCCAATCCGGCCATTGTTGAACACTGAGAAGAATATCTCCTTCATTTAAATTCATCATTATTTGATAAGCACGGAATTCTGGCTCATTGGGACACTTTACGTCACGACGGCGCAAATCGTCATATAAATGTTCTAAACTTTGGAGACACTTGACCAAGTTTTCATCATTAAACTTTGGCACAAATAGATTTACGTCTAGTTCACACAATCTGGACGAGCAGTGAATATGAAATCTAGCACACTTTTCCATGATGGAAACAACGCACAAATCTGTTAATTGCTGTTGAGTAATGTCCTTTCGGAGACTTCTAGTACGGTCCCATAAAAAGTTGTACCAATCTCCCAAAATGTCTTCATTAACGTCTCCCATTGGCACGATGTGATGCAAGAGGTAGTTAAGAGTCATCTCCAGGGTGGATCCAGGACGAAGGTCATGAGGAAGAGGTTCATCCTGATCTGCAGAGCTTCTCGAGTATGCTTTAATTGCTTTCTTATGATCCACGACCACCTCCTTTACAAGCAGAAAATTCAAGCATAGTATATTCACAATTAAACTCATTTCAGCCCTTTCTTACCGCTGCACTGTTATCAATTTCGAAGCTCGTCAGTTGCCGCTGATACTGTCGCATGTATCGTTCTTTTTCTGGGCACATATCAGGACAGGTTCCAAACAGTCTCGTTGCGAATTCTACACGTACTTTGACTTTTGGTATACCTAGACGAACAGAAGGAGCGTCAATCATTAAAACTAAAAAGTTTTTGAAATCCAAACATGACAGTTTAACTTACGAGCTCGGAGTACTTTATCTCTCGTCTCCAAAAGTCGATACTTTTCCTCCACGGTGGAACATCTCGTCGTAAACAAGTCCTTAGAATCTACATCTTCTGGAAAACAATTGAGCACGTCGTATGACATTTCATGGGGTTTGGCACCCCCACCTCCAATCCCTGAGCTGCTCGCCATCATTCAAAGTGGTCCTGCTATAAATTATACAAATATGGCTTTAAGTAATTAATAATAACTATATTCCACAACAAAACAAATTATTATCTATTATTACTATTAATATATCGGAACCCTAGTTTCACACTTGCTTGACTTCACTTCATTCTTCCTGAATCTTAAAAGAACGACTGTTCCCCTCACAAATTTCAAATTTTAGAATTTGTCCAACTGAAAATTTCACTTTGAAACTGATGATTGCGACGTTCGCACAGTTTCAACTTTTGCCGATTGAGCGGAGCAAAAACTCGACGAGAATGCGAGAATTGAGAACCCGCTCCGCTTCTCCGCTCCGCTTCTCCAACTACCCCTCCACCTTCCACTCTCGCCTTTCTCCACTTTTTTTTCATTCCATGACAAGTTACTTTCTTTTCGAAAATAAAATAATTTTTTGTCCTTGGATTTTGCATATTCTTACACAAAAATAAACTAAACTTTATAGTAACACACTACACCGGCCGACACTTGAATTGAATTTGTGCGTTGAGTTGGTGAATTTACATAACAAAAAACTTGACGTCTCACCGTTGCCTCTTTTGCCATTCATAGCAGTACTTTCACTCTTTGTTTGTTGTTGCAGGGAGCTAATATACGTAAGTAGATATGTTTGTGTGGAGAAAAAGGGCTGGAGAAAAAGTGAGCGATCGACGGGGGCCAGGAGAGAAAGGCTTTCACCTGGTGGAGTGGATAATGATGCTAAATGGGTCGATAATAAATATGTAAGCGTTATTCGACAATGCAATGCAAACACACGCAGGAATAGGTAAGAAAGCAGGCAGGCAGAGGTATCCCCACCACCAACAACTCACCCTCAGTCATGCTATTCCTTTGTCCCTATCAAAATACAAATACCAATACTGGATAAATGGTTGAGAAGGGTGGCCAGCAGAATAAAAAGTGGAGGAATATTTACGATGGAAAGTGCATTCGTAGTTTATGTCGTAGGCGGTAAGTCGAACACATCATTTTAAAATGTGTGACAGATTTCAAAAATATAATAGCTCAACTTTTTTAAACTAAAATACTTCTGGAGCAATGATAAAATCCTGAAAATTTCACTGTACTCATATTTGCATGCAGAACGTTTGTACAATACTATTCCATGAAATTATTAGATATTCAGTCAGACTGAACTATTTGTCATGCAAAATAACGAGAAAATATCAAACTAACCGAACCCCTGAAATATGTGCGATCTATGAACGATGACATGGCGTGCAAACAATGCCTCTCTCATTTTGCACTGTTTGCTTCCTACACCTACTTTCACCCGGTGGTGTAGCGTAGATATTATACCTACGCATACCCATGTCTCTTCTTTTTCGAGTTTGTTTTCCATTTTCAGAGTGCATACTCCACGTTGTGGAGGAATCCTCTGGTTGCATACATACGTATCCATGTCCCCCATGGCATTTCCGTCCGTGTGGGGTTCGAGAGTTGGGCGATTGCGGAGCACGACGTATGGGCAAGTGTGGTGCTCGTTGGCGAAGGTGGTCAGTTCGCCACTTGAAGTGTCGCGTGATGCACCTCCTCGCGCGACGACTGTCGTCTGCCCCTTGTCAAGTGTTTCTATTTCCTATTTGCTGCCGCTGCTGCTGGTTGGTGGCATCTGCTCGATTTCCAGCTTTCTCTCGCACCACTGATAACACAGACCATTAGCGGATGAGGAACAATATCGATGTAACTTACCTGTCTGTCTGTCCACGCGTGGATCGAACTTACGCAAAATACGTGGCTGTGATTTACAGGAAACAGAGTGCATTGGTCATGAAATTGGAACATGTGGTTCGTTGTTGTGTTTCTTTGTGAGTTTTTCTAAACTTGTGAAACAAGAATAACTAATGTGCGTTCCATATCAAGGGTTTTATTCGACAGTTAGTAGTATTTTGATTTTAGAAGAACTTAGCATTTGTGATAGATTGGTTATAATTTCAAATAATCATTGTCGCCATGGTCAGTTCGAGAGATCCTTCCCCGACTTCCAAAACTGTTGTGAAACGTAGGACCCCACTCAATAGCAGATCAGGTGCTTTGTCTCCCACTCTTCAACCCACTTTGAACGGACGCAAGGAAACATTCACGGGAAATTCTACATTTCCAAAGTAAGCTTATGCATTTTCCATATACATATGTAATTTATTCGTAATTTATTCTAGCTTTAGTTTGTAATAATTGATTGATATTTCAAAAGTGAAAGGTAAAAGTTCATGCAAAATGTTGTTCCTCGCCTTGCATGCTCAAATGTCATGCCATAATGCGACTATATAAATATATGTACATTCTACTATTCTTCTTGCAGCCGTAAAATGTCTAATTAAAACTTTTGAGAGGTTTGCTAATATTAACAAATGGACACGTAATGTTTGCACGTAGGCGTTTTCTCCGATCCATCCATATTGTATGCAGAATTAAAAAGTCAACAGTTTTTTAATTTTGGCATATTCGACGACTGAGTCATTCTGACAACAATGCAGGCCGATTACCAAAGTGCTCAGTCGTATGCAGGAATAATTGATACAAGGAAAATGGCCACAAATGGAGTGTTGTTAGTGAAAAGTGGGAGAAAGGCATTCATAACAAAAAATATTCGAGCTTTCTCTTTTCTTGCGGTACGGGTTTGCTTTGTGCAGTTCGTGCAAATAAAAACCTGCGTGACAATAATAATGTTTAAAAAGCAAGGTATGGATGTATGTGTGTAGTTTTGGTTTGTACACATGAGCGTGATTTTAGTTTAATTTAATGTCGACTACTAGTGGTTTCCCTTACTCCTCTGCTAATGCAGATTTCAGAATTTTAATTTTTAACCATAGCCATGACTTGTACATATGCAGGCCATGTCCCTCTGTCCTGTTGCAATAACTCCTGAATGATGGAATTTTGCACACAACTACATTTTGTACATCAAAATGAGGAATCCAGTTTAAAGATGAACTATAAAGGGGGGCTTTATCAGTGAATGTTTAAAATTCTCATAGCAGGCTGACATTTGGCAACGGGGTGCAATTTAACGTTAGATCTAAGAAGACGAAATAAATTTATCCTATTTTTTCTTGTTTTAAGGGACCATTGTGTTAAAATAGGTTGAAAGAACTATGGATGCTGAATATTAAAGCTAAAACATAAACGAATACATATGTGGGAAAATTGATAGACGGTAATGATTCTTTTTTCTAAAATATTGGTTAAGGGTCCCAAAATATGGAGAAAATGAATGGCTGCATCAATTTGACTATGTCCGTGGGCTATTTATCTTTTATCTGTGTATGAATGTAGTATTTATTAGGTATTACTTGACGTCTGCAAGTTTTTTAAGTTTTAAATTTCGTTCCTTTCTCTATCATTGAATAAACAACTATCTTTAGACATGCCATTATTTATTTCCGAGCTCTTCAATATAATTTCCGCTATCATCCTGACACTTAAATTTCGTATTTATAGTTTGACGTTTAGGAGAGGCCAAAGTAAATACGCAGACATGCGAACCTTTCACTCCCGCCGTCAGTGCCGATTTTAATAACAATTTTTAGGAACTAAACGTGCTAGCATATCGGAGAAAGCATGAAAAGTTTCTTGCTTATTATAGACAAACAGGAAACATGCGAATCGCTTAATGCCATACACGAAACCTGATACAGTTTAAGAATTCAATACTAAAAGTGACAGAGTTTTTGTAGATTGAAATCGCAAACTGTATGCATTCGAGTACAAACGTTGAAACGTTGAAAAACATGCAATCGCAAATACAGTAAAATGCAAAATATATAGCATGCAGTATTTAACAATACAATGACATGGATGGAAAAATATGTAATTTAAATATAGTTTTATATTTTAAATATAGTCAGGTGTATAAAATACGTAGCATAAACTTCAGTCGTTGCATATTGCACATACATGATTTTTTAATAGAAATGTTAAAACTCTGATGTCCCTAAAATGCTCAACACCAAGATATATGATACATATGAGAAAATTGTGCTGTTTTAATTACTATTATGGTAAAGTTCACTTGACAAAAGAATCGATTGAAATTTGAAAATCAATACCCACGTATGGAACTTGTCAGCACAAAAGTTCCTCGGATTAAAATTCGCACATACAACATATTCCTTTGCGTAGATTTGTTACATACGTTTCTTAACGTTTGATGGGCATCGATAACAAGTATAATTAAAGCCTTAATTAATAAGTTCTAACTTAGAACTTCTAAGTACACTAGCTAAGCGAAAACGATTCTAAATGTTGATGATTCTAGATAAACTAGAATAGAAACTAGAAACTATGTTGACATTACATAACTTCCAGGAATTAATCAATGGCTTGAATTTTCCACATACATATGTACTTTATAGCCAAACGATTCCCAATGCTGGCGGCATAATGTGCAGACATACATGTATGTAGAACATATAATATTTTGCATATTAAAGGCAGCCGCTGTGGTTGAGTGACCTTTCTCCATTCCGCTGGCATCGAATGACTTACAAAATGATTGAAACGGGTGTGGATTGTGTCGGCTATTGTGAACAGAACATTAGTTGTTGACCATCCATTCCGAGAGAAAGAAAGTCGGACTGACTGAATTTCCTGGTGGAAAGTGGGTAGCGGCAGAACGTTGGGTTATGTGTGTGTGCATGATTTATGCATCAATATGTCCACGGAATGTGGTGCATTTCTAATAATAAAAATAAACGCTGACCTATGTGTGTGCTATCATATTAAGCATAACGACCAATTTCGGAGACGGAATTTGTGTAATTGTGTATGTGATGATATTACATAAAATTAAAACATTTGGCATTTGCATAATAAAAATTTTTAAGAAAGGTTCAAAACAAAATTTTGCCTTTATTTTCAGCATGGTTTAATAGACGAATGATCAATTATTTTGTTTAAATTTTAGGTAGTACTTTTATTTGCTAGACAGACACCATAATCTTAAGGATAATGCTATTATAAAAATACTGAAATTCGTATGTGCTTGGTCAATATTTAGGTGAAATTGGCCAGAACAACTGAAATACATAAAAATACGCTTAGATTTGATAAAACAAAATATATAGCTTTTATTTATAGTACTTTAGACATTCAAAATATTTCTTATCATAGTTTTTTATTTGTTTGCTACGATGTTTGATTTGGAGATTCGGTTTTAATTTGCTTTTAAAAAAAACATTCAATTTTGTGGCTACTGAATATCAAAATGTAATGCTGCAATAAGTTCTATACTTGGACATACATACAGTTGTCATCAATATTTCATGCGAAATTGTCATCCCACCGTCTGGTGTAATCCAACTGTGAACCCAGACTATAATTAATTTTGGCAAATTACCGTTTTGTATTAATAGCTGGACTGTTATTAAAACGACAGTTTTCGATTTGGGGAACCATTCTGTTCCGCGTTCAAATTATTGCCGAAAATGTAATGTAGAAAAACAACTTCGGTTGAACATCCTATTTGTAAATACTTCCTAAATGTCATGTTTTCATATTATTTAAATCCTTCCGTTCTTACTAAAGTAAGTGAAGTGCTTAAATGCTTGGATCAATATTATTTCACTATTAACTGAAACTACGCTGCTGGCAATTTTAATTGAACAAATTACAGTTTTACATGTATCCTTTAAATCTGGCACAAGGTTTTCAGTCAAGGCTGGTTATTTTTAAACACTTTCTTCGGCCAATGATACAGGTAAAGGTGAAAGTGGAAAGTGAAAATGCACCAAGAAATTGTATCAACTTTCTCCCATTTTAATGACTGATTCGTGGTTGGTAACTATTTCAAGTTGATTGGATCTCAGCATTATTAAATGAGAATTGGAAAATTATTTTTTTAAGTAATGATTTGATCATTACTAGATTGTCCAAAAACAACAACTTTAATTTGGTTGATTAAATAGCCCTCAGTGATATTATGCTTTTTAATTGAATTCAATGAATGAATGTCTACTTTGCTTGCCCCATGTTTTATTTGCTAACTAGTTCGTGTGAGCATAATTACTTACGTGACGTTAAATGCAATAGTTAATTTTATTTACGATTATTGGAGTTAAGCATTTGCAATGACTTTTATGCAACATAAAAAATGGACGCTTTTGCTCCATTTTCTGCAATATGCAATGTGCAGGAGAGTTCGCAAAAGGAAAAGCTGGGTGTTGGATAAGCTGAATTTACTATTGGACATTGAGTTATTGTTTGCCGACATTAAACCGAATACTACTTGCAATTACGGGGTAAATGTGAGTAATGCTGGGCAGACATGGAATAATTGTACTCGTATTGAAAGATTGGAACTCTTTCTTCCGAAAGCACAGTTTCATCCACAAAGTTACGTACACGCAGTTACTTAACGTACATATCGTGCGAACCAACAGGATAAGCAAACAAAACAGACAGTTATGTGCAATGATTTTGCAACATTTTCCACCCAAGTTAGGCAATCTATGTATCTGGACAGTAAAATAATCCCATTTAAAATAAGGTTCCATAATCTGGAGCATTTAATTCCATAAAAGTCACTTGAAACTTACACTATTTATTACAACTATTTATGTGTCTAGTCGAAAAATTGTTTTACTCCCTACGTAAAAAATTATTGGGCATCTAAAATTCATTCTAGAGCTATCATTTTAATGCATTAGCGGGTCCTTTGGTATGTATAATTCCGACAATTGTTATTATTTCTCATAGCGTACACATTTATACCTATGTAGCCATCCGATAATCGTACAAATGTTGTAATGTTGTGTCAAATTGTTGACGTTTGCGTCAATTATTCTAGTTCGTACTGGTTCTCTGCTTTTGTAGAGGTAGGTACACACTAGCGTTTGTAAACACGAAAATACGGGGAGGGTGTAATCGTCTGCAATTTTTTGTACTTACTGATTCCAATTTCCAGTCTTTTAACTAAATCGAGCAGGTTTTGTGCAAACGTACTTATTTCCCGTCCATAATTAAGTATTCATAATAATTGCCAACAGTTTTCTTGCTTATTACTGACACTGGATGGGAGAAAAATAACGATAAAAAACCTTCAATATTAAAAAAGTGCTCATTGTACTAACTGCGAAAATGTTGATGAATAAGCGATTATGTTCTATCTTTAGGACTTTTTTGTACTTTAGAACAACAGAGTTCTATAAATTTGAACATTTCATCAGAATTCTCACTTCCACTAATTTACAGACATGTTCAGGCAAACTTTAGCAATGAGTAAATTTTGAATTTCACAATATTAATGTACTTCTAACGGCTGTGTGCATGCATTTGTTCCGTAATGCGTGTCTCGCTTGACCCCTAAAATGACATTTCTGAAAAATAACCTTGGAACAAAACCACTTTCATGTAATTACGGGTGACTCCGCTGACGAACATTATTTGCATACGGAACAAAACAACGAACTCTGCCTTTTCCCAAAAAGACGCTGCATAAACCCGCAGAATGACAAATAATTTAGTCATGAAGATTATTGACAGAATCTTAAAATTTTCGTCTCAAGATATTTATTTTTCATCTTTTCATCGGCCAACTGCTATTAAACTCCTGCTGACATGCGAGTATGAAATTTATTTGATTTCCGATCAGGTAGCTGTTGACGGGACCCAATGTTCATCAAGGACACAAAAAGAACATTTTTACATAGGAATAAGCATTGAGGTGCATACATAACATATTAAAATACAAAGGTATCGACTTCTTTGGGTAATGAGACACACATGGAGAGTCGTATTATTAATTAGATATATGTCATTGAAACGACAACCTCTTCCGGAATTTCCCACAATAAGGAACATTACCAACTTTTCAGACACTTGATAGTTAAAGAGGGAGAAATATGTAGCGTTCTACCAGGTGAAACAGTTGGTAATGTTGCGATTACAGTATTTCTCGTGCGTCGTCTTGACCAACAACGTTCGAGTATCAGACCAAATTAAACAGTAAACTTTTTCGTTAGTTTTGCAATAGTTGCTGCAGGACTGCGACAAACTTTCATAATGCTCATTTGCAGGCGAGGTGGCAATCCTGACGGTAAGCATACATGGAAAAGTTCGTTGGCAATAAGTTTCAATCTAACGTCAGGTGTAGTTAGTCATCCATTTATTTTCACTCGTCCTCAATTCGAACCGACTGGAGTTTGGGCAGTGTGGGAAATGTCGGTTATTGACAGGAGTCAATTTTTAATTAAAGGTACGGATATACTCGATGGCGGTTACTTCCTGGGAGTATAATTGTCAGTAATGAATACATATAAGCCATATCAACTGCCAAGCAAGCCTGACACGAACCCTCATAGCTGGGTGTCTTATCGGAGAGAGAGAAGAAACAATTTTCGACTGTTGTGCTAAGTTTGTTTGTCGAACGAGCAGATGTTCGGACATTATTCGCACTATTATCCTGTCCTGGATGAGGGGAGACATTTATTTTTGCAATCATTTGGTTTCCTTGAGTCTCACCTGAAGCACGGATACTTTGTCTCATCTGCACTCACTTGCATATTGTATTTCACACCTCCATAAGCGATAGGGTCGTTATAATTTTAAAAATGGTAGATCATACCGAAATTGACGAAAATTCAGAAAATGGTGAACATAAAGATCAATTTGATCAAACCGTAGTGGGGTCAGTGACCACCACACCGAGCTCAGAAAGTCCGGTAATTGAGTATGAACACATAGAAGTTAAAGTGGATATTGTGAACAACGATCACGACAAATTCGGAAATTTCGACTCCGGTGAATTCATTAGGTCACCAGAGGAAGAAGAAAGTGGTGCTGTTGCAGTGGAGGAGAACGTGGTTGACGTATTCGAAAATCTTGATACTTTCGAGAGTCCAGTTGACGAGGAGGGGGAGGAGCCTTCCCTCCTGTTCAATGACACTCTAGCCACGCAATTAGGCCTCTCCTGGAATGAGCTGAGACGAATACTGTATCCTCCAAAATTATTGTGTTTTTATAGCGGAATGGCGTCAAGTATTGGAAGTGCGACGTCTCTAAATACCTTTGACGGAGACTACGAAATGGATCAGCCAGGAGGGGACAGCAACCACAATATCAACGTTGTCGTCAGGTAAGTCTGTGCAGAACTTTTGGTTCCGTTTCCTCAATTTATTTCTTCACAGCAGCGATAAAACAAATTATAGTTTCCAGTTTCCCAAGTTAGTTCAAAAACAAACTGGATACAAATTCCGCAGAATAATACTTTTGGCGTTAGGCTAAACATGTGCATTAATAAGTACATATGTAGCAACAGCATTGAGCCGCTGCATGCAGCATCAGCTCAATTATCAAGTGGTAGACGAAACCTTATAAATAAAAGCTGGACAAGTCATTCCACTTTCGTTTCGTGTTAGGTCCCCGTCATTTCCTTGTTTCCCTCGTTACATATTGCACCTGATTCATCGACTTGATAAGCTCTCCTGCTAATTTATTCAGAGTGAGACCACTGAACGAGAAGGAAGTGAAAACAGGGGATGACTGCGCGACACACTTTCCTGGCAATGGTCAAATTTGGCTGGATGCGACGAGTCCGAAAGAGAAGCCAAAGTCTTTCACGTACAATGTCGTTTTCGAACCTGAAGCCACACAGGAAGATGTTTTGAACCACTCTGGTGTCAAACGGCTAATCGACATGGCGGTGGATGGCTTTTCATGCACTGTTTTTTGCTATGGACAAACCGGCTCTGGGAAAACCCACACGCTTACTGGCCCTCCAAACTTGGTAAATATTTGTTTGCAAATATTATGTAACATTTTTTTTAAGTATCATAAAATTGATATATTTATAATGTGTTAGCTTACCAACTTGGTAAGCTCAAAACAGGTAGAACGAAAACTTATACTTTTTGCATATTTCCAGTGAAAAAAAACCCACCTGCAAGAAATTCATGTTTGAAAGCATAATTTCTTTCATTCTTGCACCTTGCATTTCTTGCAATTTCAAGAAATGCTGAAAAGGTGCAAGAAATCAAACACTGCATTTTTCCCAAATTGCACCCCACAGTTCGGTCTTATTTACATATCCGCTTATTCGCCATTGTACATCCTTTATATGCATTGGCTTGGCACTCATTCATTAATATTTCTTAAATAAATTGTGACCTTTTAGCCAATAAAGAATTTTTAATGGTCGTTTTAAATTCTCATTTAACATTAGCATTAGCATACCTACATGTACTTACGTTTCTTAGCCCTCAAAGTAGCAAGTAAAGGAAGTCCTTACTTTTCTGGAACATGAGAAAGTATGCGAATTATGACAAGAACTCAAATAATTTAAATTATGGCAGTTGGACTAAAACTAGGTCCCACTTATTTAGGCTGCATATCATGCATCACTTTGTGCTTAGTTGATGGTCAGCTTTATTGCTGAATGAGCAGAGTTTTTTAATTCGACCGAGGTTACATTATCAACCTTTAACATTTTGCCTAAGAAACCTCTACTTCAGCCTTTACTTCTTCAATGTCTCCCATCACGCTCTTTGTGCCAATGTCAATCCTGTAACATATCGCTCCTGAACATAAACTTGACTTTGCTTGCACAAGAGAAAGAAGAGGAGCAAAAGGAAACAAATACCACCAACCAAGAGACAAGGACTGGCAAGGAGTGAAAGCAGGAAGCAAGCAACAAACAAAGCAGCAACAACTATTCCCTTTATCCTTTGCATAATAATAATGATACATTAGTTTAGTACACGTAATTGCAAAAAAAGCTCCCCGTGCTGTAAATTGAGCTCATAATGTGAATCAAAAAGGATTAATAAGCAAAAGAAAACACTCCTGTTGAATCATTCATATTATTATGACCACAAGTTTTATTAGTTTATTAGCTAGCTAACTATATAAGCTCAATTCTTGTGAACTAACTCGATTGCAATATTCAAAATAAAATATATAATGCGATTTAGTCGATCTATTTGCTTAGCATTGACGGTGACCAAGCTATGCTAAGCCAACCCATAAGTTATGACCAGCCGTGGTTGCCAATCAATAAAATTAAAGTTGAGACACAAAGAGAAACTTTTGTTTATCCGGCTTTCTTCGTCTCATAATTCCCTTTCAACCACAGGGTATCAATTGAATTAAACGCAATTATTCACTCCGTTTCTTTCTCAAACAACTTTTTATTATGGGTGACAATTGTATCCTGTTCATGCGGATACTTCCCGTGTCAACACAGCTCTCTGACACGTTGGCCTGTTTTCCCTCCTTTGTTGGCCTTAGCTTCTTCCGAGGAGGGTTCTTTGTTAGTGCGATGCGAGGTCAGACGGATGGATGGAGGGGATGAATAGGTTATCACAAGCGACATTATCACTATTATTATTGCGTATGATACAATCTCAGAGTAATAAAGTGTATCGTGAAAACAAGGGAAGAATAAAAAGATAATTTTGGCCGTGACCTAAAACCCCACTTTTTCGGAGCTGAAGAATGCACACAATTAGTGTTAGATTAGAATTGGACATAGATTTTCATATTTTATAATGAGACCGTTCTGCTATTTTCCCATCATTTGCACTATTCATACTTTCCCTGAAGTGAAATAAATGTATGTACATGTATTTTACAGGATAATGATTGTTTTATAGTTTCAGAAGAATCCTGACCCATTCTCGCCCCATCATGGACTCGTGTTCCGCTCTTTTCTTTATCTATTCGACCAAATCCAAAACAGAAACGATTTCCACTTTGGTAAATTATGTTTGTGTTTATTTTTCTATGTATTTTGACGTCTAACTGCTTGTAAATATGATGGATTATTCCAACAAAATAATGCTTTTTACATATGATTTCAGTACTCAAAGCGTCCTTCCTTGAAATTTATAATGAAAAGGTAAGAAGGCCTTTGTAGTCTGTTTTCTAGGTGAAATCATATTTTTTTAACTGGTTTACTATTCGTGGGACCGTTATTGTTGTCATAAACTTGTTTACGTGACAGGTTTTAGTTTACAATTTTCGTAGAGTGAAATTATAGGTTCAAAGGTATACGTAGGTGCTCTTCTATATATCATATATGACATGGACATTGTAAAAAGTTTGCTAAATAAGTAATCGCTATATAGATAGATAGATAAGCGGGTAGAATTTTCAGGGTATGAACAATTTCGCTGCTGACGCAAAAGGTCTAAAAAATTATGTTATCTGTTTACTTGTTTGGACAATGGACATCGGCGAGACATCAAGTTTCATCAAATTTGTTGCAAAAATACTTACCGTATTGAAAAAGTAATTGCATAACCTTACAGGACATAATACGATAAATCTTTACTTTATACCGGATCGGATAATATGAAATAGGTTGGCAGTAAAATGCGTGATTTAAAGTTTGTCATTCTATAAGAAGTTGAACAATAATTGTGTAAGTATGAAGTAATTGATTCGAACAAAATTGGAAACCAAGTCCAGAGATAAACGTTAATGAAGTTAGCAGGTTCTTTTTCCACTACTTAAAATATTAGCGAAAGTGAAATCTTTTGCTTAAAACCATGGTCCATAATAGATTGTCCATATGGATAGTTTTACCACACTGGATTTGTCTTCCATTTATGTAATTTTAAGCAATAACTAACTTCTAAATTTCATCGGTACAATAATTACATAATTTTTTTATTCAAATGTCAAAATCCATGCGTAATTCATTTCACAGTGTATAAATCACCGAATTAACGCAGCTTACAAAAATTACGAGGCTCAAATCAAATATGTACATACATACATGGATTTTTGACATCTGGATAAAAAAATTATGTAATTATTGTACCGATGAAATTTACAAGTTACTTACTGGTTATAATTATGTACATACATACACACACCATGCATTATAATGACTTACTGTCACAGTTTTTATGACGCAGTTGGCCAAGATTTATCCACACATCTTGTTTGCAATAAATTATACGTCGATACCGCGTATAATTTGGCAAAATCCCTTCTTGAGGCTTGCAAAAATCCCAATACATTATAAATCAGTATTGATTCCTACGTACGTTAGCGTCATCCTGAAGTATTATGGCAACTTGACTCGATATCGTGGCAGCAGTTAATTTACTATGCGGTTTCTGTTAAACTTTCTCCTAAAATTTTGCAATGGAAAACATTAAGCAGGGGTGGGCCAGAAATTGCGTGATTTTACTTACATATTGGAAAATGACTAGATTATGGAACATATATATCTACCTTCCGTTGCATGTCTTAATTGTTACACAGAAACTACATTGCCTCGTGTTGTGGGTTTCTCAGTTGTTAATACCATACAATATCAGCACCTACTTAGTATAGAATTTCTGCATTATCCGGGTAACATTACCCATCGACAGTTGCAAATTTGCTGAAAAAGTTGATGAATCGACTCACGTGCTTTCGGTTTGTGAAGAAATAAAACGAAATATAGTGCCACACCACGGATCGAATTTTTCCATTCATTCATGAGTACTCCATCTGGCACTCCTTTCCATCCACCCCACCGCAAAACTCATGGCCATGTACGTTCGTACGAAGCTTTCACCACGCAAAATGATTTTCTTTGGTGGTATTATTGAGTAAATTATCACTCACGAGTCACCTCCAAAACTTGGCACACCTGCGAGTGGTATCGCCGTCCAAGTAGATTTTCGCTGCTATGAAATCAACCGACACTGACCAATTTCTTCTATCATCATTATTATTATTATCACACCTCCGTGGTAAATCAATATGAGGTGCCGAGTTATTTAGTTGGATAACTGCCTATGGATGGATGTACACAAGAAATTGAAAATGTGTGTGGGTGACGAAGAAAGGAGGGACATTTAGTTTAATTGGGTGTGGGCCCCAGCAGAAGACCCACTTAATTCGCGAGTTGTCCAGTTATGGAACATTAACGTAATGATAAAATATTATTGATGGGGAGAGTCACTTAATTCAGCACGATAAAGTGACCATGGATGAAAATTAATAAACGAGGCTATCTTGGCATACATAGGTACAAAATTAAGATGTTTAGGCTATTATTATGAATGGGGGGCTCATTCATGAATAAATGAGGTATCACACCTTGGGACAAAATAGAATCAATTAACAAAGTTTAGTGTCCGATTTAAAGTTTGATAATTACATAATCTTCAGGCCAAGGCTGTTGATTACGTTTGGACACTTTAATAAGCATCGGGAGTGACAATGCAGAATCTTTGTGGGAGTTATGTCATAATGGTTGATGGGACTTTCTGAATGTTTGATAAAGTGTCCATCCAACTACACAGTCCAGTTGTGTCCTTGTCTAAAATTCTGTATTCTCATACTTCCAGACACCTGGCATTTCACTGTGAATTGCAAATTGAGGGAATACGATTATTTCTTTATGAAGTGGGCTTATCCAAATGTATGTATGGCTTATAATTTATTGCTGTGCTGGATGTGCATTCAGATAGTAGGCGTGTATATTGAGTTTTCTGCCACACTCAATTATAAAATCGATGCTTCCGATGGTCAGAACTAACAAACATTTGCTAAGCTATTTAAATTTGGAATAAACTTTGACCTTGACTTTACACTGGACAATATTTCACCGTGTTACCTACATAAATTCGGTCATTGTCGCATTCCTGACGTGGCAATCAATAGATATGCATAGTAAGTAGTACGATTCAGTCGACAATTTTAGGCCTTTAATGGGCAAGATTGATTAAAAACGTGATGTGATAGGCAATTGGACTAGTAATAATATCGCAATCAAGTTTTACCTCTGTATTAATAATGGGGTTAAAGTCCTAACCTAAGAAATGTATTGATGCATATACCCCTTGTCTTTCACAGGTAATAGATCTTCTTAACACGTCAAGAAAGTCTCTGGCAGTTCGATGGTCCAAGAAGTCCCGTGGATTTTTTGTGGAGAACCTTTTCATGGTAGAATGCGAGGAATTCGATGACCTTCTCGCCGTATTAGAAGAAGGTTTGTACCGTATTTACTGACTCGCTTTCTCTCTCCTCCATTGTTCTGATTCTGCAAATACTGTGAATAATGCCGTGCCACCACCGGTCGTCAATAATTGTCACACCTCTTTTTCTCATATTTATGAGAGTGGTGAATAATGCAGCTACCAAGTAAAATTTGAGTTGTATGGTGGTGCTGGTGGTAGTGGTTCGAGAATTGATTGACAAAAAGTCTTTCACACGTCGTCGTACGTACTAATGAACTTGAACCTCCTCTGTCACGTCGTTTTCGTATCCCGGTGGTTGCATTGTACCCCCAACGATAACTTTCTTTCTCAAGATTTTCATTCTTTTCTCCGTCGAAGGACTTTCACCTCATTCGACATAACTTGAAGAGCTTTTATGTACATAGATATCGACCAAAGAATGTCGTCCTAGCCATGGATTGGACAATGTCATATTCCAATAATAATTCCAATTTTGTAGGATAATAACAAATTTATGTGAAAAATTATGTTTGTTATATTTTGCAAAAGGTATGAGGAACCGAGCCGTGGGACGCCATAACATGAATGAGTATTCCAGTCGGAGTCACACAATTTTGACTGTTCATATAACATCAGAACAAAAGGTAAATTATAAGTTGCGTTTTGCAAGTCTTAAAATAACTTCTTGTCCAGTTTGTTGGTGACGTTTGTGTCCGAAACTTATAATTCCATTTGTTCCTTCCTCCTCTCTCTCTGTCTGCATGCATGTCGTTGGATATACTGCTGATAAATATTAATACAACATTATTACGTTGCTCCCCTTTACATCCCTCCAATCGCCCTATTGGGAATTTTCCTTTATCGGTTCATTGACCAAATGGAATTTTCCAAATGTGAAATGTGGAAATTAAATGCGAAATTCCAGTCATCCAATTCTTTATGATGATCTGACTTTGAGGGTTAAATATGAATTTCAGGCTTCTGAAGAGGGTGTGTTCATATCAAGGCATGGCAAGCTGCACTTTGTTGACCTGGCTGGCAGCGAAATGACAAAAAAGACTCAAAGCGAAGGAAAGACGTTGGAGGAAGCCAACAACATTAATAAGAGTTTGATGGTCCTAGGCTACTGTATAGCATCGTTAAGTGACGCCAAGAAAAAGAGTGGTCACATTCCTTACCGAGACAGCAAACTTACAAAACTCTTAGGTAGGTCGGCATGCAGTTGATTAAAAATTCCGTGACGAAGGTTTCACTTGCATATCATAATTCCCCATAAACCAATAAATCCTAATGTGTTAACTTTCCTTCTTTTTATTTAGCGGACAGCTTAGCAGGGAGTGGCGTCACATTAATGGTATTAAATAAAACGCATTATCCTCTTGTAATATTTACACTTGAGTTAAGTTAACACTTGATTTTTCAATTTCTCAGATTGCTTGCATATCTCCTGCAAAATCAAACATGAGCGAAACTCTGAACACTTTACGATATGCAGCCAGAGCCAAAAGAATTAGGACAAAGCCCGTCGTAGTGATGGTACGTCATTTATAATTTGACTTTGTACTACTTATTTCCAATGCTCGTCCTTGTTGAGTTGCAAATAAGTAAAATTTTAATCCACGCCCTACTTTCACTCAGGACCCAAGAGAAGCTTTAATCGTAAGCCTCAAACGGGAAGTGACTGCACTACGCGAGGAGAACAATCAGTTAAGACAGTTCATCCAAGTTGGTAGGCCGTCCACGGGAGAAATTGGGAATTGGCCGGCAAGAAACTTGGAAACGGCAAATGGTATTGGCACCGTTGATCTTCCCGATGGCCTCGACAAAGAGAAACTGGATAAAATGGAACCAACTCAACTAGTCGACACAATCGCCAAGTTCATTCAAGAAAATGCTGCTCTACGACAAGATAACTGGGAGCTCGTCGCCGTGCGAGATCTTTTGATACGCGACCAGGAATTGGTTTGTCGAGAGAATGAACGTTTACTCAAAAAGTTGGAAGATGTTAACAGCGTTTGCTGTCGATCTCCTATCGCACCCGCACGACCATCTTATTCCGCCGACATGATAAAGTCCCAATCGGATGACGAGATTGCGTCAGGCATGCGACGAAATGGCGAAGGCGATGAAAACTGGTCCAATTACGATCCAGCAAATAAAGTAAGTTCGTTAGTAACTAAAATACAAACAAGATAACCCCAGCGACAGGTGTAGATAATACTGTTATTTTACACGTTAGGATGGCGACTCTCCTCCTCCAAAGCAGAAAGGAAGTGCCCCAAGCACACCTCAACAAGTACCTGACTCCATTAGTAAAGAATTAGAAAAAAGACGTATTGGAAAAAGGTTATTCTTTGAGAGCCTTTCTTACTTACTTGACTTTATTTTGCATTGTGTCGTAATATTGGTAATAAGAGTCGTAAAATTGGGTTGTTTTGTACAGTAGTATGAGCAGTTTGTCGGATCCGAACAAGAATCATAAGCGTAACAACTCGTGGGATAAGATCGGCTCAAGGGATAGTTCCGGAGGATCTTTAAAATCCGGAGGTTCTAGTGATTCGCTTCCCACGGTGCAGGGAAAGCGGGTTATTCCTAAGTAAGGGCCACTTTAAACATAAGAAAATGTGCGACCGTAAAACTTTTATACTTAATTTATATGTATGATATCATTTTCAACGGTTAAATATTTCTGATATTTTATGGTCCCCAGTAACACAACAACCAAAGCCCCAACAAGGAAACGTAATCAACGCTCTGTTTCACCTGCAACAAGAAAATCAGGTGGGGGAAATTAACTTTTTTATGTGTAAGTTTAAATTACAGAAATATTAAAAGTCAATGGGAGAGCATTGAAAATGTGTTGTTTTTCGTTGCAGAGAGAAATCTAATTGTGTGATTGAATGTGAAAAATTCATTGTGTCAAGGAATCCCGTCCAATTGAACCTGAACCTTGATCATTTAATTAATATTATTATGCTGCTGACCTGAATTGATTAGGTTTTGAGCTGCTAAATGCTATGTATTGTATGTAGATTAAAATGGATATTACCCACGTGTCCCGTATTTCATTACTTTACTATTGATTCATCAGTCACCTTTACCATCAGAAACATGTCCCAATGATTCCTACGCAATACTTTTTGTTTATTTCTGTTTGTTGATTGCATGATTGGCTCAAATGCAATTAATTAAATTAAAATTCTGCTCTAATTACGAAACTTTATGTTGTAGTTACACAAAATCTATACATATTATGAATGGTTTTTAACAATAACTTTTTATATTTATATGAAATTCAAATCTTGTAGTATCAAACTATTTATCCCGATTTTTGACATACTTATTTCTAGTATTATTTAGTGGCAAAATCTTGAAACAAATCCAATAATTACTTCAGGATGGGTGGTGCTTATCGTGTCGTAAGTTTAGAGTTGAGCTCTAATAACACGAAATTCATACTTGTTACGGGACAATTATTTACTTACAATTGTTAGTTTTTGAAATTGACAAATAAATAAATCGAATAAATAAATTGACGATACACAAATTGGCGTTAAATTTAATCATCAGCGTCATGTATTTGAAAACGCACGTTTATTTGTTCAGAAACTCATTGTGGTAGTATACAAACACATGCGGTTGATAAAACAATAAATATATTTGTACGAAATCCATCTTATTTCACGATAAGTTAAATATACTAATCTAAATATATAGACTCATATCATCATCATTTTATAAATTCAGATCACAACAATGACGAACAATGAAAAACAACGGATACGTCAACAAGTACTTTCTCTCCATCTACATATGCTGCATAGTGATTGTGGAGTGTCTGATAAACAGTAAACTTAACGTTTGAATTGTTTTTATTAACCTATGATTGAAATTGAAGTCGTCGTTTCATATTTGTATTTTCCATAAGATTTTCATCTCCCTCGTCCTTTATGTATATATACATTGTTATATAACATCAGCAGAAAAATGGAATAAAAGTCTTTACTCGTAATGTAGTATCGGTAACTTCCTGCCAACTGCAGTTTTATGTATTCTTTTGCATATTCTTTGCATATTCTCCTAAGCTAGCAAGTAGTAGTATTAGTATTATTACATATTAAATGGTAAGAGGTATATATTTATGTATGGGTATTGTGATACATACAACAACACGGCTATCATCAAATTGCATAAGATTTGAGTACTTGCTAACAATACGTACGTACGTTTTACACTAATAATAATTATCGGTTCTTATTGTGAAGAGTTTTTCAAAATCGTGATAGGTTTCACACTTTACACGTTAGTTCCCTCTTTTTTATTTACATCAAGGAGGTTTGTGGCAATATTTACAATTTACAGAGTACTTTTACAACGTGAAGAGAGCTACATTACATAAATACAGTTTATTCCGTAATGCTTTTTTTTACAATACGAACACGTACATAAGTTAGTAGATGTTTGGTTGTTGTTGGTATACACAATAAATCTTTATAATTTTGTAGAACAACAAACAAATCAAAAATATATATAGATCTCTGTATGTATGTACTCAAGGTAAATTATGTATGTAACACACACTTAATTAGTATTTGTTATTCATTTTTTGATCATATTGTGGGATCAGCACACAGTTTGGTTATGTAAATGGGGCACATGTTCTGTAATACAACAACAACTATAACCACTAATGATTGCAATTCTTCCTCTCTACTAATTTATTTTTCTAGCCGATAACTTTTCACACCTGGTTTTACTGAACAAAAAATGCATAGCTACACAAGTAGATTAGATCACATAGCAAATCATCGTCACCCTAAAATTATTGGTGAAATTATATGTTGCTCTCTATACACAAATTAATTACTACTAAATACGTACATACATTTGTAAACTATTAAAATAAGAAGGTAATCTTAACATTTTTTAGGAAAAATCTATTTTTCATCACAAAAAATGCTCGTATTTTCAATTGATACATATAATTTCTTCCCTTCCCACGGTAAAATGGCACATCTACTACACAAGAGAGGATACATAATACGTAAGTAAGTATAATAATGTTATGAGCAGTATTCAATAACTTCGTATTGGACTTATTCCACCAAAATACATGAAAATAATCAAGCTGGTTTGCATAGAATTCGCTAGTAAATCTTTGTTATTAAACGACGCCACCCAACTTGGCGTGACGCGGTTATTCGTCATCTAACAAGTAGTTTTGTAAAATTACCTATTTCATATTGTACGTTTGCATTTAATTAAAATATGTAGTAAAGTACGGTCAGTACTTGAAATGTCTTTCTGGTTAATTGCAATTGGTTTCAACCTGCAGTGGAGTGAGGAGTAGTACAGTAGTCGAGTGTGCGAGTGTTAATTGTGTTATTATTCTTATTATTTTCTAATTACGAGGGGTTATTAGATCAGTTATTAGATCGAAATTGCAGTGCAGTTATTAGTGAATAAGTGGTCAAAGTCAGTTGATGATAATAAAGTGCATGGTTTTTGTTGCGTACAATGAACTACACACTATATTTTTTACGCTAGCACGTGTATTTAGAGTGTTTCGTAAATTTACAAGAAATTGTACCAGTACAATTCTAATGAAGGCTGCTAAAGAATTAGTTATTATTGATGAGAATTGTTAAGCCAAGAGCACGACGGGTGAGGTATTTCAAATTCTCTTATTGGAAGTTTTGCACCAAGAACATGAAAATAAAAAATAAAAAATATACGACTCTGATTACAATTGAACGCGAAATTGTGAGGAGGACACGAGAAAGAATGATACGACGTTGTCCTGTTTTGAGAAGATTGATTTACTTTGATCATATCATCATCATCATCACAATCATCCGTCACTAAAGACGACAATTATGGCTGTGCGTGTGTTGTTTATTTGTGTGTTTGTTTGCCCACCTTCAGTCTATTTCGGCTCAATATACTTTTTGAAAGCTGTCAATGTCAAATCCGTTGAAACGTACGTGTGCTACTGAACTGGAGGAGTAGTAGTAATTTGCATCTTTTGACTGATAAATGATATGTCAACGGAATATTCTATTCACCAAGTGTAGGATAATTAATTTCTCGTTATTATTATAATTATACTACTACGACGATGATCAAATTTCAAACTTCTCTTCTCGTCCCCTACATTTGTATCATCATTGTTGTTCATGTCATGGAAAAGGCAGTGAGGCTTCACAAATCATAAAGGTTTTGAATGTAGAAAAAAATATAACAATAATGACTCTATTTCTTAAATAACTCTAATACGTATGCTCCATAATAACATCATGTTCATGAATTAAATATACAAATTCTAGGTATACAAAAAGTATTTACATTCATCTAGTATTTTTGTGCTTCAAGTATAATTGCTTTCCTGCATACTCTGACCACGTCACCTCCCCGAAACGATCGGATGATGATTATTATGATGCAACTTATTGTGGTAGTAATTTGACAAAATATAGTCTTTTATGTGACGATCTGGAACTGATGATAATGTAATGAAGAAGGAGTACGGAATGAATTTGTGGGTTATTTTCTTGCGAGTTTTAGTTGTTCTGCTGTCCATGATTTGACTTTCTCTGTGGACACAAAGACGGCGATGATGGTGATTTTGATGGGGGGAGAAACATACGACGATTACATTGACTTTCTTTTTTCTAGTAGCAGATGAAGTGATGAAGAACACGTTTACTGGACCGAGAAGAATGAGAATTTGGATATTTCTGAGTGATGAGTCCACCTGACGCTCTCATGAATGTATGTAAATACTAAGGTAGGTAGTATTTAGTACGAGTTTTTTAGGGGTAGTAGAAGTTGCGTTTCAAATAGTAAAGTTAGTAGTGGCAGGCTTTTTTGTTTTAGTAAATGCAGTGATAGCTGACGTAATGTCTCGACGACGTTAAAATGATGACCCTCCGATAAGAAGCAAGATGGATAAATAGATACAGAGTGAGAGAGCCAGTTGGGCGGCAGAAACTTCAGTAACAGTTTTCTTGACAAGCTATATATCGTACAACTAGAGTGACAACGGTCCATAAAGAGACAACGAGTAGTAGTCGTACATAGATCTAGATCTACTGTTCTACATTTCGAGTTCTACTTACGTACGAGTAGTAATAGTTTTAGTAGTAAAACAGTCGAAAAGTGTGAGACACGAAGGGAAAAACACACATTAATGAAATGTCTCATAGACCAAATCTCTTAAAGATTAAATCCTTCCCTTTGGAAAGAATAGAGCCTTCAGACGCACCCCCTTCGCCAGAACCCCCACCAATTGCGCTGTGGGTGAAGTCGGAGAACTTTTGCATGAGAGAGCCAGGAGCGTCAGTGAGTACTCCCGGGAGTTTGCTAGTGATAGGATTGGCACTTGTTCCGGCACCTGTGGCACCCGCGTTACTGGTCATCACGGTGGTGGCCGTAACCTTTCCGCCGCCGGTGGAATACGAGCCGGAAGGCTCCATCATGGTTGGACTGAATTCTGGAAGACCACCACGTGCGTTTCTTTGAAGGAGTTGCTGCTGTTGGTTCTGAGGCCCCTGGGCACCCCCACCTCGTCCGAGTCCGGCTGGAGGTCCGGTACTGCTCCCACCGCCGCCTCTACCACCTCTCCGCGCCACCCCGTCGAAATTGTTCCTCTGAAAAAGCAGTTAACCAGACATTGAGGATGGGAGCCGGAGGGGAACCACCGCAAGAGTGGCAAGAATTATATACAATCTGCTCATCTAAGATGAATTCCTATCAACAAAACTGAAGGGACGTAAGTAATTTAATGTACAACTGAAGATGAAGCCTCTGTCCACTAGACTCTAGAGACTGACCTACGAGAAGTAATTAAGTACGGTTGGTATGGTTCGTACAGAGCATCCAAAACAGAGAAAAACATTTGGGGAGTTGGGAATCAATCAATCAATCAATCAATCTGGAGGAGAGAGGCAGGGGGGAAGGAGTTTGAATAACGACTACATATGAAAGTGAGGCAAAACATTTAGATAATTTTTTAATACTGATTCCGTACATGTTCCGTTCTTTTCTGGGGGTGTTCACAGGACTTTTTTTAACTTTTGAGTACATTTAAGTTGTTCCCTAGAACTTTGATACTTTATTTAAGAAAAAAAATCCACCTCCCATTAAGAAAACCCGACGGAAGCAATTTTGAGAAATTACCTCGGGCAGAACAATGAAAGCTATGCGTGAACTGAAGCCAGACGAAGGGTTTGGGTTTGAAAACAGAAAGAACGGAAACGAAGGGCTAACTTAGAGTGCGCTCAGAAGCAGCTATGAAATGGGTCAAGCGGTTGTGGAAAGAGATGAACTTACCTCCGAGTGAGGATAAGAGGCGTCTAGATTAGCGGCGTACAGAGAGAGTCATAAAAAAGACAGAATTTTGTTTTGAGAGGAGCACAACATCAATCAGGGATAGTGCATGAACAAGCCATAAGATCAATAGAGTCTAGAATGAGAATTAATAGAGAAGGTTCGCAGTGCTCGCTTCCCAAGGAGATTTTTGGGCTTCTCCTCCTGAGGGCGAAAAGACGATGAAGCACACCGCATTGAGACATCGAAGGCACATCGAGAGTAAATGTATGAGAGAAAGGGGAGGTGAAACGACACATTGACATTTGTGGTGACTGCTGTGTGACCCTTACTAGATTTCAGATACACACCCATCATCATATCCCTCACACATCTGGTCTTCCTAACCCAGTCCACAGGAAAGAGAAAGAGGTTTACAGGTTCAGAAGAAGAAGAAGTTGAGGGGTGGGTGGGTAGGTTTGGGTATTGGTGCGAACACGGGGGACAGAGAAAGAGTAAGAGCGACACATTCTCAAGGGTAACCAAACAGGAAACTTCGAACGGACCGTTCTCCTAACGCACTGCGATTCCCATCATTTCTTTCATTACAACCTACCTTTCCTCGGCCCTCCGCGACCCTGGCCCATCATCTGGGCTTCACGAGGCGGTGGAGGTGGTCCCCTCGCCCCTGGACCTGGACCAGACGGTCGTCTATGATCTTGTGGACCATGTGGGGGCGGTGGACCACCCCGCTGTTGTTGTAGCTGCCTTCCCCCACGACCGTCTCCTCCATATTCTGGTGGAGCTTCCGCGAGGAAATTGGACGGGACCAACCCACGAACACCGTTAAGCTCCCCCATGAAGAAGCCGTCGTCATCCATTTCACCGAATACTTTTATAATATCACCCGTTTGGAATGATAATTCCACCTGCAAAACAGAAATCTGGTTCACTTCAAGGTCTTAATTTTATACATACATACATAACAGCTAATACGCAATTAGCAATACTTGTGCAGCCTAAAAACGACACGGTCTAATTCATATTTAGACTCATGATGATTTTGCATACCTCTGAATCTACATTAGGAGAGAGCTCCTGTGGATCGTAGTCGTATAGCGCTACCATAATTTTAACTGGCACACTGGCGTAGATATCTCCCCATCGATCTCTTCCCATTGCCCGCCTCTCCCTCCCACTCGCCAAAGGTTCTCCACTTTCCTGCTAAGAAATCACATCATTATGTAATAGATAATTAATTAAGAAAAATCATGGACTAATAACGGTCAACCCCCGCAGCAAGTAATGTAATCACTCACATTGAGCAGTTCTTGTGCGACGCGTTCATCATCCGGTTGAACTTCTGATACCATATTACACGGAACGAAGCCCCTCCGACCTCCAGCTTCGCCCCAGTAAAAACCATCTGGGTCCTTCTCCCCATAAATCTAAAAATAAGAAAATAATACTCAGAATTTAATATCTGCAGAGATTTGTGCAAAGTAGTAATTACACAAGTAATATAAAGTCACCTTAATAAGCTGGCCTTCCCTGAAGGGAAGTTCCTCTTCGCAGGCGTCAGGATTCGGGGACATTGTTGGTGGATCATAGTCAAACAGAGCTACAAAAAGCCTGTGTCTGACATCAGCCGGAGGACGGGGGCCTGGTCTGGGGGGTCTTCTACTGTAATAATCTTGAGGGGGCTGTGTGGACCTTGGGTCTTGTCGCATGTGTGGAGGTTGTTGGGGGTGTTGTTGTTGGGGAAGGTAACCACCTCCTCCTCCTCTAGGCCGATCTGACGACATGGGGCCACCACCTGGTCCACGCCCTCGCGGATCAGAAGGGCCAGGTGGTGGAGGGCCTCTAATTCCATAGTCTACTCTTTGGTTTGGATTTAATGGTCTGCCATGTCGATCCGTGTCTTTTGGTATTTCTGGAGGAATTTCATTGGTACGCATGAGGTTGAAGCTGTTTTTCAGCCTATTTTTGATATTTAGACTGCCTATCGAGGGAATGGGCATGTGGAAACCAGCTACTTCGCGATCGCTAAAACTTTCTTCGCCTTCCATCATGGACGGGTGTCTGGCCCCTCCTGCCCCTCGGCGTGGTGGCAAATTGTTCTGTTGTGGAATATTATGCCTTTTGAGTCGTAACACTTGAGCAGGAATTGGAATTGGGACACTATCTGAAGAGAGGATATCACGAGACTTGGTACGCACGGTGACTTGTCGAGGGATCATTCCTTGAAATCTGTTCAGGTCCAGTAGAGCATGATCTCCTGTGAACCAGGTTATCCTTCAAATTATCACGTTGCCCCAGTGTCATCATTATATTATGCACATAATTATCTCCTTTCCAACCACCAATCTCGCTGTCTCTTGCTCTCTCTCACTTTCTCTCTGTAGAGCAGTATCACTTACCAGAAGGGCTATCAATTTCTAAAATTTTCCTGCCATCAGCAAACACAGCGTATCCGGTGACAATTGCTCCGTTCGAAGTGGCAGCAGCGACAGGATGCCATGTCACTAATATTGTATTGTCTTGAGGACCCGGTTCCACTTGTACGTCGATGGGGGGATCAGGCAGACATCCTACACACCCTCAGAAATACCATTAAGAAAACTTCACTATTTCTGCTTACTTGCCTTTCTATATTTTCGAATGTGTAAGTTACCTTTTGGAAGTGTTTTGAACTCGGTGTGTGCTGACAGCTTTTCCATCTGCTTGCTCCCCTTTTCATCAAAGTGGGGAGCTTTAATGTTCTTGGAACGAACTGTGACTCGGTATGTTGTATTTGGCGTAAGTCCTGAATATCAAACAAATACAACCAACCACATATAAAATAATGCATATGTGTACTCTTTAAATATCATGCAAAAAATGTATTTTATAATTACGCACCGGTAATGGTATGTCGGTAAATTCCAGGTTTTACAGTCCTTACTTCGACATTATTAACACAAACGACATGTTGATAATTGCTGTTTGCGGGGAGCCAGGATATAACGGAGGATGTACTCGTGACACTGGTAGCCCTGATGCAGGAGGGAGAAAGTGGTGCGTCCTTTCCAATCACCATTGTGCAGGCTGCATCTCTGGATGTGCGACGATTGGGAGTCACGGCACGGACGCTGATTCGATGAGGCTGTTATTTTCACAATTAAAGTAATCCATACATACCGTCATTGTTTTGTGTAAAGTGGACACTTTTTTTTACATACCCGATTGCAATCAACCCCCTCAACCAACGCCCTTGTCCTCTCATTCGCCTTGATAGTGCACCGAAGAAGCCCGTTAACAAAGACTTGATAAGTATCAATGGTTCCGGGAGGGCAGTCGGGTGAGTTCCAACCGATGAGTATGCTGTAAATTATTAAAATGCTTTATGCTAAATTATTAGCATAAATTATTATGCTGTAAATTATTATGCTATAAGTTATTATGCTGTAAATTATTATGCTGTAAATTATTAGCAAATCCTCTTTGGATTTATTCATTTTCGGTGTTTAGTTTTAACATTTATAGTATCATAGAGTAAAAAAACAAACAATATATCATTAAATGACTCATTGACCTAAGGTCGGAAAGCGAGGAAAGCGAGCTAAAAATCCCATTATGCCAGTTCGAAAACGTTCAAGTACATTGATCCGCTTCACTGCTTCAACTGGATCAATCCCAAACTCCTCCTTACACTTGTGGCGAAGAACGAGGCGATCATCGATTCCAGGGAATATGGCTGTCGGGTTGAGGAGGTAGCGAGCAATGCCGTCCTTCGACATGGTAATCCAGCGCTGAGTAGGTGGGGGTAGAAGGTCAAAATAATGACCTAAGGTCTCCTCCAAGTACTGGGCGTGGTCACGGAGCAGGGTGAGGCATTCATGTGGGTGAAATGTGCCCATCGCAAGCAGCCGGAGTCTCAGCCACCACTTCAACTTCTTTGCAGCTGGTTCATCCGAGGCATAGAGTCCAAGAGGAATGGCTTCCTTGATGAGAGGTCTCCATTTCTTCTCCTTGGCTTCGTTTCTAAAGGATGACATAATTATTGTCATATAATGATAAATGATTGGAAAAATTATACCGATAGCTGCAAGCTTTATCGCCATTCACAATGTTATTCCAATTGGCAAATGCTGCGTCGGTGGCAGAATCCCACGATGTATACCCCACCGTCACAGCCACCACATTACCTAAGGTATTAACCCAGAGGACAAGATACATCTGCCAGAATTCAACTAAAATATACAAAAATAAATATTTTGTAAATTATTTGACTGACAATTTATAGAAACTGTTACAACTTACGAATATTATCATCTGGGTCGATGTCCCGTCGAAGTATACGGCCTTTCTCCGTCGAAAATACTCGACGACTTGGATTAATAACCTTGGGTTGTTGGGGGGCTGTGCCATCGTGATAAATGATTCCCCTCATTCTTGCTTTCTTATACCAGTTCTAGATTTCAGATTAAACAGAATTAATTTATTAATTTAAAAACCTAAGGTTGATAATATACAAAAAAAATACTAAATTCACTAACTTCCACTTGTCTCTTGCTCAACTCAGCCCTAAACATCAAGTCCTCCTTCTCCAGAGCGGAAGGGAGCCTACCCTTATTGGCGAAGTAAAAATCCTCCAAAATGTGACGCTGTTTACCCGTCAACGATATTCCGTACTTCCTCTGTCTGTGATTGTTGAACCAAATCTATGAGTGTGAACACAACATGAATTAGTCATGAGAATACATTCGAGAATACATGAACACACAACCTAAGGTTAATCGGTACTTACTCGGATCTGATAAGCATACAGTTTTGTCGACGTCATCAAAGATATGAGTTCATCCTTGGAAAGATCTTGAGAATCTTCGAATGAGGATTCCAACAATTCTGTTTGCCACCCTGGATAGGGAGCGCCATTTGACCATTTTCGTGGTCCTCCAACTCCTTCCGGAAAGGCTTCCTCTTCGCCCTCCTCCAGCTCAGCCTTATCTTCGACGTTAACCTTAGGTTGGAGAGAATCGTCATCATCCATGTCACTCACATGGCCATCACTGTCCGATCCGGCGCCGTCCTCCTTCATCTCAAAATCAGCGTCGACGTTCGTCTCCCGTTCGTCAACGCCGTCTGCACCATAGTCAGCCGTCTTCTTAACATTCCTTCCACTTCGTCGCAAGTTGTTGTTCTCCATCTTAAAAAAGTTGAAATACAGCAATTAATTACAACTAAACTTACCTTAGGTATTTATCATGTCGAAGAAGTTATAAATTTTACCTTAAATCACTTTTTTTCAATCAATTTTCGGTTAAAATTGAGAGCAGTTTTAAAAAGAACTGTTGCTCGTCGTATTCTCTCCTCACTCTGGTTGTGCAGATAAGCAAAGACAAGAATCTGAGATCAAGTTTCATCCTGATCAGTCTCATTCATTCTCATCTCACCCCGCAGGCATTTCATTAAAAAAACATCCACTAGTTTCGTTTCTCTCATAATTAATAAGTAATTACAATAGTTTTTTCATTGCTATAATAATTACCTAAGGTATTGTTTTGTTTATTTTAAAGAATGTGGCCAAAATTTACCCTACAAAAAAATGGTGCAATGGGGTCAGGCAACTCCAACCCTCTTCGGCCACAAGTATCAATTGTGGCCGAAGAGGAGACAACTTTAGGTCAGATGTGGGTGTGAACCAGACGAAGAAAATAACGAAGATGATGAATCAAGAAATGCGATGATATTGGACTTGGTGACGTGAGATATGAAAATGAAGCGAAATTTTACCTTTTGTTGAGTTGTCGTTGTAGAACTAAGTGGATGGGTGGAGGTACTAACACGGAGAAGAACACATCTATTAATACATACGGTAATACCCAATTTTACTATGCAACTACGGTTGTGCTCACTTGATTGATAATTATAAATATACTTAAATGCGTGCAATACTTTATCTACTTTCTCTCCGTCTAAAAGAAAAATCAGGTAAAAATGTATGCACCTTGTTTTTCAGGGTCGCCATCGTCATCTATTAAATCTTCCAGGTCCAGGTACCCAAACTCCTCTTGTCTTCTATGCATCAGTTCTTCTGTAGAGGAGGAAAACGAGTAAAGCTTGGCGTTAGGTACGCAGTTTTATACGCGGTCTAAAATACCTGTGCTCTCAATGTACACATGTCTCATTACTTTTTGTATATTATTTTCTACTTGTTTTCACATGATGACAATTTCACCAACAACAATAATTTCACTAACATTTATTTTTGGTACGACATGAAAGTGTTGAATACACATTTTGTAAAATGGTGCAAGCCAACCAAAAAACCCTCAATTAGACAATGACACAAGCCAACAAATTTTGGAATAAAACACAGAAATGAAAATTATAAATGACACAAACCTTGTCTCCTGAAAGCTTCTTCCTGATTCAACATCAAAGGGGGCAAGGTTCTCTGAATGCGATTCTTGTTTTTTGCTACATTCAGAAAAAATGTAGAAAGGTAAGAAGAAGAACGGCGCGTGCGAATTTTCAATTAAAAAGGTAATGGAAACAAACAAAATATCCAGAAGGAGATGCTACACAACTATGCAACAACTAAGACCTACGTACGGATATATAGATGGATGCTAAAACTAAAGACGGTATATGTTCTAGTTTAATCATAGATAATCATAGGAATAAACTAAAAAGCTACAGGTACATGAAGACTACATCAAGTTCATAGAAGTGGTGGTGGTGGTGGGTGGGTGGGACAGCAGATCTATATTTACAACCATCCATGTCGTCCACCCACAACTACCTTCTACACTCTCTGCTGACAGCATTCATGGGCGTAGATAACGTCCATCCATACCTATGATGAGACGCTGTGACTCCTCATCCGCCACGTCTCTCGCATACTCAAAGTCCAAGAGGGATGTCGAAAAGCAGTCCTCCGAATCCTTAATCCCGAGAACGACCTGTTGATGAAACTCGAGCAAATCATCGCCCACCAGCCTCTCAACATAATTCGAAGGAACCAGCCCCCGTCTCCCGTCAAGAAGCTCTCCATCCAAAAATCCGTCCTGAAATAATATCAAATATTCTCCATGTCAAATCGAGAATTGCGACTGCTCCAACCTGTCGCAAACATTCGCAGAAATAAAATCCATTACTTGCAGGCGTCAGAGACGACTGATTCACTGAATTATTATGTACTAGTGTAGAAGCCCGTCAATCGACGTGCAAAATAGGCCCGTCGATAAGCCCGTTGCCCCAACATTAGTGAAGTTAGCCCCTCCTTTTCGCTCTCTACAGAGTGGAGAGCGAGAAAGAGAGGCTAACTTCTCAAAAAAGCCACCGACCCAGCAGCGATACACTCGCCTGCTTTATATAGTTTAGATGTATTCCTCAACGAAGGAATAATAACACGCAATAACAGAGAATTCCAATTATTCTCCACTAAAACGTATCCATTTACATACATTTTCAATTTTATTAAGTCAATAAATTAAGTTGAAATTGGTTTCCCTACAAAAAAGTAATGAGAACACTTTTCAGCTAAATAATACTTTTTCCTCTGCCAGACATACATGATTTGTAGCACTTAAGTTTCTCCCTCTTCTTGACGTTCCAACTTTCTGATCTCTCTGTGTCTGTGTGGCTACAAAGGCTGCCTACTCGAACGGGAGGAGAAGAAGTGGAGAGAAGGGCTTTCGAGAGAAAGTTATATAAAGAGCGTAAACGTTATTGAATGAGGAAAAATCTCGACCGAGGGAAAAACCTGAGGGAAAAGACAAGAGTCACGGAGCATTGGCAGAGGTCAATGGAAAAGGCCCCGTTATAGATGGAATTGTGCGAGGGAATAAAATGCTGTTCCCGTTTGAATGACATATTTTGAAAAGAAAGTGAACATTTTCATTTCTCTTCGCATCTCACTAACCACGACGACGACCAACAATACATCGCCACCACCGCGGTATAGATACTACACCCACAGAGATCTGGGCTATACCTTCCACACGTGCAAGATATGAAATGGGTGGGTATCATGCTATAATGGGGTTAAAAATAAGAAAGAGCGAGAGAAAGTTGACTCGTTGAATGTGAAAGGTGGTCGAATGGATTTATAAGGCAATAGGAAAAAGTGGTGGAAAATAGTTGAATCTTCCAAATGTGAATTGAGTGAAGGGAAGTGGAAGTATTTGCCATAAATGAGCTACTCTATGGTAAGCACACCATTATGCACATAACAAAAGTATGTACACACAGGGATTGGCTACAAGTATGTAAGAGCATAAATTCGGTTTTTGCATGGATGATGATGATGCTCACTTCATCTCGGCAACCGTGTTCCGCCTGTGCCTTAAATGTCAATTTATTGTAACGTGACCGACTACTTGACTGAGAGTCAACACGGGTTTGGGTATGATGAGAAACACCTCGTGGCATGATTGAGATTGAAGCAGAAGAAGAAAGTGGAGTTTCATTTCGCACTAAATAATGGGGAGCAGGCAAGCAGGCATCGTCGTCGTTGAAGTGGCTTTCTCTTCTCGCATCACTCATTCAACACTGTTTTCACGGAATTGTGGTAAACTTATTCTCGCCTTCTCCCACCATCGCCTTCTCTTCAGAGAAGGACGACCCAGATTCGCAAAATCAAATTCCACACAGACAGGATATATGTAAGCTAGTGTAAAGATACATAGATTTGAACAAATCTCGCTGTAATTCTCTGGTCCCTTTGTTGAAATATAATTTTGGAATGGTCATATGTATGTATGGACCCTTCTTCTTCTTTGGTGGTGATGGAAAGTTATTGCATTGTGGTTGTGGTGGTCACACAAAGCGTGGTTATTCGGGTGGTGGTGGTAAGTTTTCGAGGTGGACGAGATTTTGTGCGAGGAAGAAAAAGATGTAGAAAAAGAAGCCACAAACCTCATCCATAGTTCCCCAGACTAGGACATAATCTCCGGCATTCAGACTCAATTCCGCCTCGGGATTCTCGTTGGGTGACTGATGAAATGGGTCGTACGAGTATCTGTGAAGAGACATTTAGAAGAGTCAGACATTGGTACAATTTTATTACAAGATGACAAACCATGGCTCAGGGACGGATGCATGGAAGAAGTGAAGCACTTCAAGGACTTGCTACATACTGTGTACACTTCTCATCCTTCCTCCTTTCTCTACCCACCCACTCACTCGCTCACTCACCTCCAGAATGAGAAAAGTTAGGCTGGGAGGAGGACATTGTTCGTTTGTACGTATGCAGTTGGGAGCTACAGTTGGAATCTGTAGTTGTAATCTGCAATTGGAATCTGAGCATCTATTTCATGAACATGAACACACAAGTTTCGTATCTGTTCTTCCAACTTGTGTGATTCATGAGCAATCTCTGAGCAATCATGACAATGGAAGGGAACGAGAGAGAGAGAGGAAAATTGAGCCTGGGAAAGTACTTTATTTCGTTAGTCAATACCTAACGCTGTAAACAAAGCATCGTCCTTTTCCAGGTACGTCTAGCATTTCGGCCCCTTTCGTCGCTTGATGTTGGAGTTGGTGCTGGATCTGCATTTGATGTTGGTGCTGTTGATGCTGTTGCTGCTGCTGCTTAGTTCCATTGAGTATCTGCTGCTGATGATGTGACACACCCATGCCCCCTGAAATATGACCATAAGATGAGCAAAATAAACATGTTGCTGTGCACACACAAATTCATCACCGAAAAAATACAATCTCGAGTAATAAAATAGCAATCTAGTCGTTTGTAAATATTGCGACAGTTGACACTAAAGAAATTACATGGCTTTCCGTCTCTCTACTTATACGTAGTCTGTCTGCGGCTGGTAGGTATACATAAGTAAACGGAAAACAATGTGTGTACCGTGTCCCATGACATTACATGCTACGTGGGACGTATCTCATTTCAATAGATTGGATTGGATGAACCATGTTTGCAAAAATTTACAACTCTGTTCAGTTGGAGAAAGTTGTTGTGGATGGAAACATGTCACCCTTCTTGTGTCCTTGTCTATTTTGGTGCTTTTGCACCATCATCAGCAGACAAGATGATGAACAAGTGAAACTTTGAAACTCACCAGTTTTACTGTCGACATGAGCGGTGGTAATGATGGTCGGAATGGTGATGGACTGTGGTTGCATCGAATGATGGTGCATCATCCCACTGGAATGCTGAAGGTGGTGTTGATGTTGTTGCTGCTGATTGGCCGTTTGTTGTAATGTTGTTGTTGGTCCCTGAGAGTGGAAAACGGTTCCGGCAGGAACAACGGAGAAGAAATTTGTGGGCAGAACGGTGGCAATTGGTTGAAATTGGGGCATTCCTCCCATTCCGTGGAGAGTCTGCATTGTCGAAGAGGTGCCTTGAGGGTGCATCCCGCTGTGGTGGTGATCATATATTCCAGACAAGTCCCGTGAAGTACTGCCTGAAACTGTGTGGTCAACCAAACATGCAATGTCAATCTCTTCCTAATGACAACTCATCCTTCTCCTCCGGAGGATTGGACGATGTCGTCGCTACATACGTTACACGTTTACGGGTAATGTGAGTGAAGGAGAGAAGAGCAGTCATAAATACATGGATATTCAGATTCAGACACAACAATAAGTAACAGGTGTGGTAGAGAGGTGGGTTGTTAAAGTGATTCAAGCAAGTTCAACAATTTGATGACACAGACATGAAATCGAGTTAAACACGATATGATGATACGCTTTAACGAATTTAAAATAATTGCTTCGCCGACTATCTAAAAGGTCAAACTCTGCCAAGGATGAAATTTTCTTAAACAAAGTATGCTTTCAGTGCGGGGGCACTAATTGGGTTTTATACATATTAAACAACACGACCAGTTATATATTTCATCTATTTATGCAAAAACTCCTGCCTCTAAACACACGCCTAATAACGACAGTACATATTTACAACGACGACAACCACTACAAACTAATAATAAGTAGATGAGGATGACACAAAGTTATGTTAAACTTCTAAATATATAAATACATGAATACGTACATAGGTTACGAGATGCGTCACACTAAACAAGCTGAGCTGGCAGAAGTTTGTTTGTTCATAGTTTACTCGAATTAAATGTAGATTTCTAGAAATTTTTAGAAACTTTTTCTCTACTTTTTGTGGGAACAAATTGCTTGTCCCACTTAGACTTGAAAACTATGCGTGTCTCCAGCAATCAAATTAATGAACAATTTCTTCAATAAATTGTTTTCTGTTTTCGGAGGATAACTTTACGAGTGTTCAAAATTTTCATCAACTTCTGCTCAGCAAAACTCTAAAATAGTATGCAATGGGAATGACGAAAGAAGAAGGCTTTGTTCGTTCTACGGCTGAATTATTACGAACATTTTTGACTGCCTTGTGATGATTTCGAGTAAAAAATATATTAGGAAATAAAGTGCATTGTGAACGGGGATACCTCTAAATATAATACAAAATTAAGCACAGTGGTGATTGGGCCAAACGCGGTACATATTATTTAATATTGTTAATAATTAAGAAGTCAAATTAGCATCAACGCTACAGTAAAAGCACACAGTCTTGTTTTTAAATGACGTAAAGGGAAAATAATCAAATTCTACATTAAATACTTGGAGAATATAATGGGTAAAATGTGCAAGTGTCTGTTGTACTATAAGGTTAAGAATTACAGGGCTACATACTCGTTTACATAAATACATAATATTGAGAGAAAACACCATTTAAAGGGGTTTAAATAGCACAAAGCACAAATAGTTTGTTTGACACGGCTTCTACGATATTTACTTAAATAAGCATTGCTTTACTGCACTGCCAGCTAGCCAGCTCAGTTGGTTGCTACACAATATAGACTTTCACCTCTTATCGAATTTCGTGGTAGACGGTTACATATTTCGTGGGATGGATGGACGGATCCAGACTTGGCACATTTAAAAGTGAAAGCCGGCCAGCAATGCATGTTCTTGGAAATGTACAAGTTTTTGACCTCTCAAACAATTGCCGTAATGGTTTTCGGTAATTGCTGTTTGTTTTCATAACGTTTGTATCGGTTGGAAAGGCTGACTGTGTACGAGGAGAACTGTGTATTGGACATAATAACATAATACAGCATGAATACGAACGAGTCTAAACTAATTAAATTACGCCATTGCAATCGCTCCGTGAATTAGTTTGTTGTACAATGGGTACAGCAGCCTTGTTGGCGGCGGTGGTCGTGTTATAGGTTCGTTGCGGTGGGTGCAACCCAAATTCTAATTTCTAATATAATCGGCCCGTTAATCTAATTAGGCCTCAACCTTCAACAAGGTACGATGTGGTTTGTTCAAAATTAGTGGAGGAGCACAAAATTTTGGCGAATGTCTGTATTAAATTTCGAATGTGTTGGTTGGTACATACAACGACTAGAAATGGATGTTTGTATTGGTAAGAATATCCTGTTTCTCCTCGAGTTTCTGCCAGGTTGATTACTTTGAATGTATGGACGATATATTTTCTAATATTCATTTATGTGTGTCATTCATCTATTATGCAGGTTGGTTTGTGCGGTGGCATGAGTTAAGCAACGGGAGAAAGTGCATGTGTCTCTGTGCACCTATTTACTTGAGTACGTACGGCTACATATCTAACATGAGCTCTAAAAACCTGGTCCGTGTCTCTTATCGGTTAGCGCTTGTTTTTCTTCTTTGATCATCATAATTAAGTATTTGACTATCTCATCACTAATACAAAATATATTTGTTATTTAGTATTACGCTGCTTACTTTCTGGTTCATCAATGTGATCGATTGTGATTTTTGGAACGTGGTATTTGGACGATGTCGGTTTTTTGGGTAAAATTCGTCTATGAGGTGCTGGCATGTGGCCTTTCGGCGGATGCGGATGGGTGCTAAAACGAGAGCCACAAACTGCGAAACAATGAGACAATCCAAAAGGAATGATAAAATTAATACGTCAATCAGTGAGCATCACAATAATCACATGCAGGCTGTGGTGGTTTTCATATCATTTCATAATTAATCAATTAATTAAAAGTAAACCAAATTAATAAGGAATATATGTTGATACATACGCTCTCACACTCAACTCAGTCATGATGGTGGTACAATAAGTAAGTATTACAAATGCGCTGCTCTTGTGGGGAACGGTGTGGATATGCCATTAGTCAAACCACGGATTTGTTCAGCATTAAAGGTGAACGGCAGTTAAATAAATTGGTTTTTGGATAAATACACGGATAAAGCAGAGGCTAGGATTAAAACATTGCTCACAATAAATTGCATAATTCGGTCGGAATGGAATTAACAACAAATTCAGCAGGATATGTAGGTTTGGCTAAGTACACACATTTACAGGAGTGAGAACTCGGTATTTCGTATTGATTGACCACAGTGATAAAGAATAGTAGTTATTGTAGTAATCGGATTAATGGTTATGTAAATATTTCCATTATTACACTATGTACATAGAGATTTGAGTGGTGCACACACACACACGTGGTAAATATGCGTTCTGATGCCTCTGCTTAAAAGAAATGATGACAGGCAAAGCGCCACACGGTATAAAATGACATCATCAATAATTATGCAATGGGGAAAAAGATTGCTACACATTTTCGGCTAGGGATGGGCAAATTAGAATCGTAATCAGTCACGCAAAAGCATTCAAAAGTGGATACGGATTATACGTAAGTCTTTACATTCACACCGTATGCGTATGCCATTTCAGGATATTTACTGAGCTGCGTTGAGTAGCAATAAACAGTTTCATGGCTTCTTTCACTGACTTTCAGAGAAGTTTGTGACTAATTCGATGAAAGAAAGAAGGAAGATGAATGAGTTTTAGGTGAAAGTTGGATACGGGGCAATCTGAGATTTCTATGCATACGCCTACAGCCCTGACTAAACTTTTATTAACAACCGTTTCAGATGATCAACTGGATCAGCTACATGATAAGTTAGCTAAGCCGCGATGAGTAAATATTTAAATGATCATTATTCCAAGCAAGGGTGATTAGTAGTAGTTTAGTAGTTGTTATGAATGCGGGGAAGAGATGCAGTAAGTTGTAAGTATTTCTATATTACATGGTAACTGAGAAGAGAGAGAGAGAGAGAGAGAGAGGACAGACAAAAGAAAGAGGAGGGAAGGAGAGAAAGTAGAGAAAATAGAAAGACGAAGAAGAAGAAGAAGAATATGTACGTACGTGTTAACGACTCACCAGCATTCTTATCTAATTCAGCTAAAATCTTGTTATCCTGTTGAATTTTGAATATGATACGTTCAATTTGATGGTTTGAAGCGATAGGGTCATCAAACTGGAGAGACTTTTGAGAGAGGAGGGTGGCTCTGGGTTTTTGCACGTTGGGGTTCACGCCGCCGGGTTGTTGGAGGAGGACACCACCACCACCCTGGGTCAGATCGGTCACGGAAGTGCTCCGCCGAAGTCGCTTCCTCCCGTGTCTCAGAGGAGAGAAGGAGGAGGACTTATAGGTCCGCGGAAGCGAGTGGTGAGAGACACCTGCGGCCACAAGCCATGTGAGTTTCCGAACCACACCACCACCACACGACGACACACATCAACTTCTCTGTATTTACATCACATGCAACCAACCCCTCCGCCAAAGCGACGCATTATTTTGCACAACCAACCACCACCCTACGTCTTATTCCGCCACTCCTCCCACCATCATCGGCTCTGCTTTTTTTTAAGCTATCATCCTGGCCGTACATATGCTCATGAGCAAAAATCTTTAACGGGGTTGTTGTGACCAACGCCACGTAGGTCTTACTGATCCTATAAATATCCCATCCTAACTTTCTCCCAACTAAGTTACGTAGTGCGCGTACTGCTGCTGCTGAGGTTTAATGTTACACTTTCTCTACACGGATGGATGATTAGATAGAAGTCGTACATATGGGGGAGAGCTCACATAGTTAGTTAGTTGGCTTCTGTGAAGGAACGAACCTTACACAAACTAGCACACGTTATTATTATCATAGGATTCAATTTGTGTGTAATCCTCTTTCTCCGGGGCAAAGTTAATCAAACCCATCATAAAATTTTTAATGCTCTTATTTCCTCTCAAGTCAGATCTACACTAGATATATGAGCCTACACGGTTTATGTCATTCGAGAGAGGGTTTGCTCATCAGATTACGTTGCGACTCACTCCTCATACGTAAATATCCTCTCTCAAAGGAAGTGGAACTTGCTCAGGTAACAATAATAATGTGAGCAGCAGCAAAATACTGCAATCTGAGACGATGCTAAAATTGAAAAATTGTCAGCAACTTGTAGTAATGAGACATGTACACAGGTTGTTGTATCTTGTTTGATGTTCTGTAGCAGTACAAGCACACACTTCACACACAGTTGAATAGCATGATGCCCATGTAAGTATGTATGTATGTAAGTATAAAAGTAAAAAAGTGAGAGGATCGCCATCATTCACACCAAAAAACTAAATATCAATCAGGGGTTACGTTTAGATACACGGCGAGCGTGGTGTTCTTGTGGGTAGTGTGGGTTGTGTAAACAATGATGTGAGCTGGATGGAAAACGAACGCTATGCAACAACGAAATCTGACACCGCTATTGTAGCAGGAAAGAAAAGGTCACATTAACAACAGAAATCAATGCGGAGAGTTGGGTCACATATCATCAACCAATAATATAGCTACAAGTGAAAGGCGATAAGTCTACATTCTAGAGAGACACAAATATATACAGATAATAGGATTGTACAATTACCAATAATAAAACAAAATACATAGACCACGTAGTAGTAAGTAGTATTTAGTAGTAGTGGCAATACATGGGTAGTAGCAGAAGAAGTAAGTATGTACATGGTATAGGAGACTGTATATTTAGTGTATGTAAAAAATGAGGTTGACAGTGAATAAATAGTTCCTACATATAGTGCAGCTAAAGAGGTATTGGATCGAGCCAGTTTGAAATTGTCGAACCGTGTGCAAAAATATATGTCGAATTATGGACAGAGCTCTGCAGGTTGGAAAAATTGTTTGATTAAAATGCAAATTGTCTAAATTTTTACTGGATTGGATTTTGTTGGTTATTAACTTTTGTTAGGGGGATTGAATGATTAATAAATCGGTTTGGAAGGAAATGACTCTGGTAAAATATAGCCTGCTGGTCGAAACAAATCCTGTTATTTGTAAATAAATCAGTTCATTACAACGAAGTATGCAGAAAGGAGGGAAGAAGAATCTACATACGTGGAGGCAATTTATTGTATGCATCATTTTTTTCGTCGTCGTCGTGCTCGTCCTTCCAATATGACTTTTTGCTACCCAGAATATGTATCTAGCTCCATTATTACACTGTATTTCAGTCCAACGACCCAATTTACGTTCTCATTGATTTTCCCTGCCTAAACAAGTAGTAGGATATTGATAGCATCGCATTAACCGTGTACCTTTCTCGTCTATCTCGTCCTCCCGAGGAGTGCAGGACAGGAAACTAACTTCTGGCGCTATGTTCTAGCTCTCTGCATGCCAACAAATGCAATGCATGGACGAGGACACAACCCTTTTTCACTTTCCCCTGTTGTAATACATAATAAATAAATAACTGCTGCTTTCCTCGACACGACTTGTGCCCTGCTTCTGCTGCTTCTGCTGCTGATAGTACACTTTGTACTTTAAACACCAAGCGAGTGCCATCCTCGCTGTTTCCTCGCTGCTAATTACAAATTAATGAATTAGACCGCCGACGAAGCAGTGCTGTTGTTTCCTTTTGACTTGTGTTCTTTCTCCTCAAATCCGCAAATCAACAGTTTGACTTTTGCCCTCTTAATAATAGCACCTTTCTTTTCATTTTAAGAGAATGGCAGAGTGGAAGAAAGAGGTTACAAAGGAGGTTCAAACAAATCTGTTAGAAAAACAAGCTTATTTTTCCAGGTATTGATTCTGCCCTGGTCTGGCTCTTCTAAAAGGAAACTAAAATAGTATAAAATAAATATAAGGCTTCACTTCTCCCCTTGTTCACTTCATGGACGGCGTCCATGAAGAACGAACAACGGAAAAAAATCATTGATTTAAAATATCTGAAAATAAGTAGAATTGTTAAATGGAAAAAAAATTCACTGACTTTGGCCTCGATAAGTTCCCATTTGATTTGCTCAGTCTTTGCGATTGTCAGTTTACTTTGTTGTTTGACTTTTTTTTCTAGTCTCTGAGTGGGTTTCGACGGAGAGAAAGAGAGAGAGGCTGAGAGCGGACTGCCGACAGAACGTAATTTATGGTGGAGAAAGTGAACGTGGGCAGCACGGATGGATGGATGGATTGCACAATGGACAGCGAGGGATGTGGGTGTGTGGCATGAATAATTGATATGATTAAATGAATATTGTGAAGATGGTTTCTCTACCTCTTGAGTATGTTCCCGATGACTGATACAGGGTGTGCTGTTGTTGTTCATCCAGTGAAGGAACTACAGGAGTGGAAAGTTGGGAAAGTGCCGTAGTACTCTCTCCTCGACTCAAAACCGAGTCTGTACATGTACATCATCAAAGTTAGTCAGCATATTTATTACAAACTTGTTTCCCTTTCATAACCTCCACCACCATCATCATCCTCCTCATCTAAATTCCATTAGAATCCTGTGTTGCGGTTGGACGACACATTATTATCTACAAAGGCTGTCTCTGTCTCTACAGCCAACCGCATTCCGTTTCCTACTTCGGCGTATCATCTGATGATTACTTTCTCGGGCTTGATTTTATCGGATTATTATAATTAAAAGTTTGATAATCTGCCTGCCTGTCAACTTCATAAGGCCCGTTTTCTCTTGTGGGGAGCGAAACCTACCAGTTGCGTGACTATGATCTGCTGCAAAACACTTTGAAATCAAGTCATTATAGACCCACACTTGAAGTATGCTTCACAAAATTAACAAACTCGGTTGGATATGAGCCCTCGAGAATACTTGGATAACCAACTCCTGTGAGAGATATCTGCATGTATGAACCTTGGTGACATGCACCAATCTCTAGCTTTGCTGGAAAATTGTGCTAAAAATTTTCACTTTTTAAGAAGAACAAGTGGGTATAAATATGATGTTAAAATGGAAAGAAGAGAGGAGTAAGAAGTTGATAAGAAGCGAGAATATAGAGAATTTGGTAATAATAATTATTATATTAGTATCAATTGCATTGAGAGTAAACCGGTTGCTGCGGGATTCACACATAAAAGACGAGATTTAGATATTAAAAAGTAAAGATTCGTTAAAAACTAGTGTATGCAATAATAAGAAGAAGAATAAATAAGAACTACAGTTCATGACAGCAATGCAAAAATTTTAATCGAGCATTTATTTATAAAAGAACGTAGAACGGCATGTATTTGACTGACACTACATGAAGCTCTAGTAGCTGCTGGTTGCTCTTGGGGGATCTTGAATAAATTAGTGAAAGTTCAAGAAATATAAAATCAACGAAAGATTGAACCCAAGCTAAAATTATATTTTGACGGATTTGGAAAGGCAAAAGAATGAAATGAACGAATTAACCAATGAAAAGATGAGCAACACAGCCAGAATTGTTTGCCAAAGATTCATTGCATTGCAATCGCGTACTAACTACAGTAGTAGAGAAAAGAAATCTACCTAAATACGTGAGTTGTGTGTGTACCTATGTAAATATAATTAAACTGGGAAAACATTCCTGTATGATTCCTGATTGATCGAAGGTTGATTTTTTTATCAATTTAACGGTGTGTTTACATAGTTAAATAAGATGCCGATGCAATTTTCTGCTTGTTTTTTTTATGAAAAATCCTGCCTGCTACATACGTAAAACAACTCACGAGGGAACCTTGTATAGTGCCCGGAGCTCCCAGCACATTCAATATATACATTAGACGCGTTTTTTAATACTAGTCCTATGATGTGACAAAATCTCCGTGTCAAAATGACATTTGGTCAAGCGGTGACGATTTTAGTGACGCGCCGAACGGTCACTTTCTCCCATGATTTCAATAGAGCAGCTACTTTTCGCCACACGCTCCTCATCTTGCTACTGAATTCTCAACTAATTTACTCACTGAGCACACTGGTACTTAATTTAGCTATATTTACAATATCATTACAATTTACTGTTTATAGCTTATCAATATTATTTTTGCGTTCGAATTTGAAAGTTGCAAAATGTTCCGCGCAGTTTTTGAAAAACAAATCCCTTTATTTGTTTAAATTCATAAGAAGTTGATATATTTTTTCCGAATAGTTTTTAAACTCTAATATTTTAAAGAAAAAAAATGTTGAAAACTTGTAAATGGTAAATAAATTGTCATGATATTGTAAATATACATAATTAAATCGGATGCCAGTTTCATCGGTGAACAAATGAGTTGAGATTTCAGTGAGATGAGTGTGGAGCGTGTAGCGAAGAGGTGAAAGGGTCCTGCACTACTAAAAGCATGGCGACCGTGACCGTTCCGCGCGTCACTAAAGTCGTCACCACGTGACCAAATGTCATTTTGACACGGAGATTTTGTCACATCATAGGACTAGTATTAAAAACTGCGTCTAATGTATATAGTGGATATGCTGGGAGCTCCGGGCACTATAAAAGGTTCCCTCGTCAGCATATTCTAAGATGAACATTGTCTGCTCCCGAAAGTTGATGAAGCGCTATGAATTGTGCGGCTACTGACTAATGGAAGTTTTGCAATATTGCTAATGGAATGAAGAGAGGTTTAAGGAACGGTTTATGAGAGTGAATGAATAGTTGAAGAGGTGAAAAACGAGACCTGACCTGGAGTTGAGCAAAGGGGCGAGTCGGGTGGACTCTGACCGAGGGAGGAATGGCGAGAGGATGAGGCACGGGCAGACTGATGCGACCTTTTCAGAGCCGTCAGCTCCAACATCAACTCCTAAAAAGCACCAAGGAACCAAGTCAAGAGGAAATTATAATCCAGTCGGAGTGTTTTAGGAAAATGTTGAAAATGTTACCTCATGACGAACATTTTGGAGCTGGGTGCAAAACACAATTCACACAAATTAATTAGAATTAGGTAGTAGAATTAATGAATTATTTATCTAACAAATCCCCGCTAATTTCCCACTGTTTTGGTCGCGTACAGGTGAAGGAATTGTCAAAACGACCCATTTAGAACAACGCTCACCCTTACGTATCTCAAAATTGCACACTTTTCTACTGCCTACACCTGCAGAAACGAATAAAAATATTCTTGCTATCTTTGGTAAGACAAAGGACACTAGTGCATCCCACAGAAAAACTCATCACTTTGTTATCCAAAGAATAAATAAGTATACGCTACCTTGCCACTCAAAGGGGCAAAAAGACGTAAGGAAAACCCCCTGTTTTTCCTAGTGCAAACCTTCACTAAAATTCCAATTCTGATCGGATTTTGACAATTCTTGCATGCTTTGAAATGTCCAATACCAAACTCAATTTTTAGAAATTGTTATTTTTTCGAAGGTGCAACTTTTGTAAAATACTGAAAAACTTTAAAAAGTTGAGTTTGGTATTGGATATGCTAACCCATTCTCTACTTTACCAATAAAAATGTTAAATTTTAGTCTTACCTCCGTCTTCTTCTCCAACTCTCGGATTTTGGACTAAAATTAAAACCCCACAATATTAGCGATATACATACATATGGCACATATGTACTTCTACATGTACATATGCATATGTCTTATAGAAGCAAAATATGTCTTAGAGTGGAAAAAAATCTTTGCTGTTTCTAAGTATCTAGTTATTCTTTGACAAGATAATAGAATTCTCCACGATGAGTGAGCGTTATTCACCACTCACTCTCACGACGATGAGAAGATTTGTCGTCGTTAGGTGAAAGTTTCATTTGGGAAGTAGAACACAAAATAACAAGACAAAAACCAACCTGCAGTGCTTCAACAAAGTCTGCGGACTTCTTTTTGTCACTTTCTCCGAAAAAGCTAAGTCGGCTGACCTCCTCCTTCTTTTCTCGTAATTGAGCCAAAGCTTCGGCATGCTGTAAATTAAAATTTACTATTAGAGTTGAGTACGAGGGACGCAAATTACATGTGTAGACTATCCATGCAACCAACTATTTTCCAATTTGAATCAAATTTTTCATTGAAGTGTTGTATTAAATTAGTTCAAGTTTTAAACAGTCTCAAGATTCTTGTACTATGTCATCGAAAATGGAAAGCTGCCTGAATGTTGTACGGAGCTCAAACTAATTTACCGTACACAGCAAATTTAAATTACTACAAAAATGTACATACCTGTCTCTCGAGTTCTTTCCTTTGTTCTGACGCTTCACGTAATTGCTGTACATTTGTGAGGAACAAGACAAAAAAATCCGTCATTAGTTACTAAATTGGGCTGAAATCTAGAGCGCTTTTCGGAGCAAACTACATCATTTTTTGTGCGGTTTCTAGGTACACACAGATGCAAGCGAGTGTTTGTATGTAAGTACATCTTCTGGATGCGATTTGCCTTTGTACTCGGCCGAGGAGAAAGGACATATTAGACACAAAGTGGCGGCGAGAAGACTTAGCATTACAAAGCATCGGTTGGAGTAGGAGACACGGAAAGCAGAGAGAAAACTAGATAAATTACTGCTAAGAGTATATGACAGAGTAGATTTGCTTACCAGGATAGACAACAGCAACCAACCAGCTCTAAAACTCTAGTGGACTCTAATCCTTTGTAGCAGATTAGATTTACGCTATAGACTACTGCGAGTCTTCTTATGTATCACATTGCAAAGCGTGAGAAGACAGTGAACGGGGTGCACATTACAACAAAGAGGAGATTGGACGACGACGATGGATTTGGACCAATTCCCTCACACCATTTACGAACAAACAAAGCGATGGGGACAAGCAACAAGCACGCTGAAATTTCTTTCCTTGTCAGCGATGTCACCACTTTCAAAACTATCGTCCTCGTAATGAGAATTCAGAATGGTCCAATGGTAGCTATTGGGGGGAGGGGGATTAGTTGGTCTAGAGGGAAGGTTGGAGGTTGATGTTTGTTTTATGCAGACACACCAAAAAAATGTGTGTCTGGGGTGGACGCATGCATCGGACGAAGAAGGCGACACAATAATGAATATAGAAAAGCTTTAATTAATCAATTAATACTTGTAATGTTTCGCAACTACACTGCTAGTGCAGCAAGCCAGAGAGAAAAAAGGTGAGCACGTACACGATTCCGTACCTTCAAAATAGACTCCAGGTTGGAAAATTTTCTGGAGTCAGCCCAGAAACGGAACACGGAAGCAAGCCCTTAAAAGTAGATTTCAAATTCGTTGCTAGCGAATCCAGGTTTCCTGCAAAGGGAAATCCCTCTCTCTCACGTTCTTCTTCTCTCTCTCTTTTTCGCTCTCTCTCTTACTCACTCTTCTCCCGCACACTTTCTCTCCTTCAAGTCACACTTTCACCAAGTTCGACAAACAAACGCTTATCTTCTTCTTAGGTCACCAAACTCTGGGTGAATTTGATGGGCGGTGTAGTGTCGAAATGTGGTAGGAGCCGTTGTTGTTGCTGGGCAGGTTGATCCCAGATTCCATGAATGACTCAACAATAATAATGCTCAAATTTACTGCTGGGAATTGTAGTAGCAATAGGATTTATTCACGGGTGGGGATCACTGCAGATGATGATAGATGTACATGTGCGAAGGTTGAGCATGGGGCAATTTTTGAATTTCGGATGACACCTTGTCGTTACTGATGTGGGACGTTGGCGGAGTTGCGGAATGTGGGGCGGTTACTTTGACGAGGAGAAAAGTGAAAACTTTAATATTTTCCAGCTCGAACGAAGGGTTGCTGCGACTTCATGCTGACGAAGAATTTTTTATTCTCGGGAACTCTCACCCTGCGACACTGGCGATGGAGTTGAAGGGAGGAGGAAGGTTTTCGTTCCTTCGAGGGCAAGCCACTCCACCCTGGGAGAAAACGTGTGGAGGTGAAAAAGTGCACCAGCTAATAATTATCGTGTGGTCCTCCTCGTGTGCTCAGCCTAGCTTTTAGTTATCACTACTCTGTCTCCTCCACCACTGCATGTTATATGTTTCCTGCTGCTGCTGCTGCTGCTGCTGTGAAAGCGAGTAGCCTCCGGAGGAGAATGTAGCAGACTGGAGCCAGACGGGCGACTTGTGTGTTGAGGAGGCAAGAGAAAGCAGCAGTAGGGGCAGCGAGCGAGCTATGTTCGAGTAACGAGGGACGTAGCGTTGGTGGTGACGAGGTTGGCGGATTTGAGAGCGCGAGGACGGGAGGGACACACGGTCGCAAGAGGCGAAGGGATGTTCCCTGAGAGAGGGTTATACCAAAGGGAACCTCACCATGGCTTTTTGGGCAAGAATGCTTTGTTGGCAGTGCAGAGGAGCACATCCGCCCTTTCGCAAATTATACGCAAGATAAGGAAATCGATAGGATGGGGAGAGATGCGGGGAAATTCGGGTCATGGGGGATCCACACTGGAGCAGGAGCATGGCCACCGCCCCAAACCCCACCCGACCACCCTCAAACGGCACACGCAATCTCTTTCTCCCACCATACACCTATCAGCACCGCTTTCTCCATACAAAATATACCAGTATACCCGACCGAGTCAGTTGGGGGTTCACCCAGATGCCTCGTGTCTTCACAAGTTTCACATCCACCAGCTTTCTCCTGCAGGGGAAGAGTACAACTTTCTCCATGCACATCTCTCCTACTGTTTCATCCACCAGCAGCAGCAAGAAAGCAGAGGCAAAGCAATCGCTGGTGGAACTTACAACCCGCCGGCACAGCACATTTTCTCCAGCCACTACTACTCCTGCTACTGCTCTTTCTCCTGCTAGGAATCCTTTCTCGTGGTGGTGGTGTGGTTGGTGTGGGCTTGCACTTGTTTGCCACACTGCCAGCTCTGCTTGTTGGCTCTTTACCACACAATGTGCTACATAAAGAGAGTAACAACGGTTTTTACTAGAGATGATACAAGCTCCTCATTTTCCTTCTCTTCTCCAGCACCACCACGAAAATGTGCTTCGCTTTCTCCTCTTCTCTCTAATTCCGTGCTCCTTTTCCTCTCGTCCTGCTGCAAAGTGGTGGTGGGACTGCATTCTTCTTATCTGTAAAATATCTCTACGTTTACTTGTTCTTCGCATGATGATGATGATGGTCCGTGTGCCTGTGCATGCCTTCCCTCTCTCCTGCATACATACATATGTACGTGCGATAAAGGGATTCTCTGCGAAGGAGGTGAATTGAGCCGTTTCATTCCCCACTATACACTTCTTGCTCGTACTTTAGAATTCTAAACAAGGCTGATAACGAGGAGGTTGTGTGTGCAAAGTTGTAAAACCATGGACGAATTCATGAGAACATAGCCCGGTGGGTATTTGGCTAACTTGCATAGCGCGGAGGAAAAGTGTTTTTGTACATAATAATGTACGCCTGCTTTCACTTGCAGAAAATTCCGCAAAGAAAATCTGTCATCTTCATCGGTCCTGACTGTCACTGTCACACAAACAATTCAGAGAACTGATCAAAGTCGCATGACTGCACACAGATTTGCGCCCGACTCAGCAAGCAGCTAGACAAGTAGGCAGGCCAACACAAAGTAGCAAAGGGACTCAATCACAGTTAACTTTGCAAGTTATCAAGTTAAAATGTCATCATACCGCAGCCTATTTTAACTGATTTTCTAATTTTCAACATCCAAACTCCTGCTCGCTTTTATCTTAACTCTGTCATCGTGTCACCATGTCTGAAGCCTTTGGTGGTGGTAACGGTGACAATCTCTGGCTGGCTGGCTACAAGCTCATTATATACTTCTTAATGTGTTTCTTGATTGCTGTCCATACGAAGGAGAAAAACTGTCACCTTTACGTCGTTCACTCTCTCTCTCTCCTTTTGGAGATGTACCTCCCACGGCATAAGGTCATTATAAGGCAGATGTTGCAAAAGTGGATGTTGACCTTTGCTCCGCATACTCAAACAGTGTCCATTTGATTCGAATGAACCCGAGCGTATTAGCCGCCGAGAGAGAAATCCCATGTCATCTTCATCAATCATTACCATTATAATAACTAGCAACGCAAAGCAAAGCAAAGTCTTCAGAATAAATAGATTAACGCCAACGCTTGGCAACTTGGACGTCATCAGAATTCTCATGTACGGACAGGGCGAGTGTCGCAATAGGCATGTACATATATTTATGAATATAGATATGTATGCACGTGCATGTATTTATACGTGCATATGGAGCATAAAGCCATATCTTTCCCCTTGTTTGTGTTAGCTTACTTGCCAACAACTTGATTCTCAGAGATTTCTCTTTCATTCAAATAGAAGAAGAAGCCATCATTTCATACTTTCTCGTTGATGGTGGTGTAGACAAGGACATAAAATAAATAGTAAAACTCTGTCTGCATAAAAAATGCTCAAAAACTAATCTTCAAAATAAATATGCCTTACATTAGCTGCTGTAATAACAGAGTGAACAAAAGACAATATTGTGAAGATAGATATCGAAGAGAGAGTACGAAATGTCGAATATTTATTTTTCCTTTCCTTCTTCTTCTTCTCCTTCTCTATCAGATCATATTCGGCACAACTCCAAGAATGTGGTGCATTAGACCAAAAAAAATAACTCGACTGCATGGTCTTCTGCGATTCGGATGACATATGGCCGGATATCATCAACAGAATCTTCAACTACAATTATTCAATGTCGTTTTAATACCTTAATCCGCTCCACGCAAAAATTACTTATCAGTGTAAAAAAAACGGTATAAATCAAGGTCTTGGTTTCATTATTAGTAATACGAGAAGAGTCCAAGTGATGGATATTGATTTTGAATTCCTCATTATGAGGTTGGCTCGATTGAGCTTAAAATAAGAGGAGGGCGATATTCAGGACAGGATTCAAATTCCATCATCATCATTATCATTAGATTATGTATTTGAGAGAGTATATTCATCCATGTAGATGCTGGGTGGATATGTTGATGGAAATAAATTCCTAATACTCAGAGAGTTGAACAACTTCTTCTTCTCCTAATGTTGAGAGCTTGGTGGGGAGATTAGTATTGGCCCCCAGTCAGTCTCGTTTTATTGAAAAAGAAGTTTTACCGACTTTCTCCCTGTTTGGTTGTGGTTTGGTGGATGATGGTGTGCTATTAATGGCAGACTCGGTCGGGTTTTGGTGGTTTGGTGAGTAGTGGTCTGATTGTGTTCGACTTTTCCTTGAGAAACTTTTGAGAGAAAGAACAAAAACTTGGGTCAAACCAAACCCAGTGAATCCACAAACGAAGCCAACTTCAGCAAAACACTAATTCATTGTGTGTTGGCCTTTATATCTCAACCGCACTCGTCCTCACTCAACTCTACATATTCTCACGAAACACCAATATTTAGCTGCTCTTGTCGAATGAAATGCTGAATTGAACGCGAAAAAAACAAACAACTCACCACCACCACAACAATAACAAGAGGCAATTGTAGAGTAAATTGGGTTTTTTTTATATTTAAACTGGTTGTTAAATTGACCATGTACCTTATATGTATATATTTGACATGCATGTGTGCACCTATACGTTTCATCTGTAATTTCCTGAATCGATCTCAGTTTTCAAACGTTCCAAATATTTGCTTTCTTCTACTCTATTTGTAAAAGAATGTCGTAATGAGTATCTTTTTGAAACAAGAATTCTTATTTCAAATAAAGCTGCCAAATTAAACGAGTACAAGTTGCCCATTTCGTTTACTTTCTTTTCCTCTTTATTTCTATCGGGTGCATTGTGTTATGGAAGCTGCTGAGCTTTGTGAAAGCAGATCCCTCACCCTCAGAAGAGGAATTCTTATACCTTTCACGACGTGGTAAGAACGTGATGCGACGCTTATTGGAGTCTGAAGGGAACTTCTTCTTCCGTGTGGGAAAATAGGAAAATACTTCAAAGCTAGTAAATCTATAACATTCCTGATATTTTATCAAATTTATTTTTTCACAAAAGCAGGCTTCATACTGCCTTTCGCATTTCGCGAGGTGACCTAAAATAGTATTTTTATACTTGTACCTAAGAAATAATGGGAAATTTTAATGCCAAAGGTTAGTTGGCTTGAGAGCAAGCATAGGTAAATGCATCTCGGTTCAATTCTCTTGATACCGGAGGAAAACTTTTACTTAATATACAGATGACAGACTTACCCGTTTCCATGTAATTCCGGGACAACTAAAGAAAATAAATTACAAATGGGTGATGCAAATTTCAAATAATAAGAAGCCAAGGTATTAATCCGTTCGCAGAATCTCTCATTTCCTACCAAAACCCGTGAAGAAGTGATTCAATTTGTTACTTAAGCACACATATCACAACATCGAAAGGAAGCAGCGTGTCATAAAGGAAAAGGGTTTTTTTGAATTGCGGAAACGGATTTCTTGCCCACTTCTTCTTCTTCATTTTGACGATTTGCAGAATCGATACTTGAGTGACGGAGATGCTGCTTGGATTGGTCCTCCTGCCACTATAGTCACCCGCATGCAAGTCCCAGCAGACCCAGCAAGATCCTAATAATATACTATGTATCGTTTCTTCGTATTCTTCCTCCTCCTCTGCCAGCACAAATTCTGCCATTAAGGTTATACAGGGGACGCGCTGCTGGTGTGTCATAAATAGATTGTTAATCTCACTTACTTTTCCTCTATTCAATGTCCTTCAATTCCTAAAATTGCATCAATTTCATGAGTTTTGAGCTAAATGAAACTTTTGATTATTTAATGTGAAGTTAATTTTTGGTAGTAAATATAAAACCTTGAACTTGAAAGAAAAACAGTTTAAATTTATTTTCCAGGAAATTTATTGTGAACAAATGGCAAATAGCGTTCTAGAGATTTCCGTTTAAAGACATTCGATAGGGGTAGAGTGAGATAGAAATCTATGACGGAAACAGTCCACCTTAACCATTTCACGATTTGAGCCTCCTGAAAGGTTGAGATGATGAGAGAGAGAAAGATATAAGAGTTGAGACTTCTTCACTTTTCCCACTTTCCCCTCGCTTCGCATGTATTGACTTCTCCTGCCCTCAAGTGTTTATTCAATGATTGAATTTAATCTGGAATCTTTCTCTTGAAAACTTGACGATGATATAAGTCAGCCTGTGACTACGTATTTGCTTGTGATGAGCAGGATTAAAATGAAAAAGAAGCCATCGTCTAAATTCAAAGAGACATATCGCCGGCACAGAATAGATTATTTTAAAAATCGCAAGCTTTCATTTCTCACTAAAACAAATAAAGATTTATTTGTATGCTAGTACAAAAAATCACTTTAAGCTTAAAAAAAGGATGAAAGCTTTAGAAATAAGCCTTTCGGATAAAATGGGATAAAATGGGCGAGTGATGGACAAAATTTAAGGCAAATTGATTCGGACATTCCATAATAAAAAAGT